TACTGTCTGTGTCCCTTCTTCAAGATGAGTTTGCAAGAGCAGTGTATGTGGCCACGGGGCTGAAGCTGACACGTCACCTTGTTAACACCATCTTCAAGATCTTTGATGTAGATCATGACGACCAGCTCTCCTACAAGGAGTTCATCGGGATAATGAAGGACCGGCTGCACAGAGGAGCTAGGGTGAGAAACAAAGAGATCAGTGCTAGCTCAGATGAAATACACCAAATCTTTTAACTGTTTGACCAGTGTAAAACCAAAGGAAGGTGACCTCAGGTGCGTCTGATGTTGTGTATAAGAATCCACTTTGAAATGACTAAGAGGGACTCAAAACGAAGTAACTAAGATATAAACAACAGTAGGGTTTTTAAAGATGTTCAGAACAAAAAAAAAAGGTTTCCATTGAGGTTCGGAAGATAGATGGTTGAAGTTCATGTGGAGTTAATGGTCATCATACTGAGCATTACTTAATTCTCTACATACTTATTAAGTTCTGTATAAAAAAATTACAGTAACATTCCCATATCTCTTTCTGAAGCACGAACAAAACACAGGTTTTTAAGGTCAGGCGTTCAAACATATTTGGTTCTCAGAATTACTACTAACCCGTTGTTCGTTTGATTTGCCATAATAATATAAATAATAAAAATCTTGAGGGCTTGGAAGATTCAGTGTGGCACGGAAGAGTTAAACTCTAAAACAGTGGTTCTCAACTGGTGGGTCCCGACCCAAAAGTGGGTCACAGACATGTTCTGGATGGGTCGCAAACAGCTGGTCAAAAAAGTAAATATTTAAGGCACATGTACACGTGCAGCCGCCTAGGCTCAATAGCCAAGGTAACTACCATTAACTTGATACTCAGTTTGTGTTGCAGGGAGGAGGTAAGATGGCAAAGTGTAAATACGACCCTGGCTATTTGAAATGTGGTTTTGTTTATCAAGAATAATAAGGGAGGGACAGAAACCCCAGTGTGTAATATGTAGTGAGGTGCTTGCAAATAAACACATGAAACTATCCAAGCGCCATATGTTGCTCTGTTCCAGAAAAAGATCACACTGTGGGTAAATCATTTAATCAAAGACAGACTGGACATGTTCCCCAACGCATGCCATGAGGCGCAGCAGCTGGACACCGCAGTCGTAAATGACTCGCTAAACTTAAAGCTCAGTTTGAAAAATACTTCCCTGAGAAAAGCACAGATAATGAGTGGATATGTGACCCCTTCTGCATCGACATGCAAAGCATCATTTTATTTACATTCGTCCATGGTATTGTAATTGATTGTCCTTCTCATTTTCTGAATGCAAAGACATAGAAGTTACATCTTTCATTTTGTGGCCATAAGAATAACTTTATGTTAACCCCCGAAGGGAAATTCAATTATCTGTAGTTGTTAATAGTTATAATTACTAGATCTTTCATTGTTTTTATATTTATTCTACTCACTTTACCCATTTGTCCTCCTCAGTTTCTTATTAATGTGGCCTGAATGCAGTAAAAATACCTTGTTTTGTTTTTCTGGTCTTTATTTTGTCCAATTTGATATGTATTCTCTTCTGAATATGCTCTGGATGCAGAGATGCATATAAGTATAATTTCTTATTTTGCTGGTCCCCATTTTGTGCAATTTGATATTTGATATTTTCTGTATATGCAACTTGAGTAGTTGTCGTCCTCAGTTCATGTGCTCTGAAATGCACTTTACTCAATAAAACGGGTGTATTTGTGTTTAAGATGAGATTTGAATCTTGAAGGGTTTTTTTATTTAAAAAAAAAAATTGCTTGGTTTGAATTCTTTAAAAGTGGGTCGCGACTTAAGGACCATGAGAAAATGTGGGTCCCAGAGTGAGACCAGTTGAGAACCACCGCTCTAGAATAATAACTATGTGGCATTCTTATGCCGTTATGAAAACCACTAAACTTCACACCTGGCCACTAATCTTTCCTTCACATGTGATGAACCAGTTAATGAGGGGTCAACTTATTCTTGAAAAAATGCGTGGACAGTACTAAACAAATAGGGAAAAACTGTGTGATGGTGATTTTGTTAAAAGGGGCTTTGTAGAATTAAAGTCAGGTGACCCAGTCATATGAAACCTCCAAATACAGCTTTTAGGTTTTGCTGGGCCATTGTTTTAAACATACCCAATATGAACAGGCAACCCAGGTATCATCCCAGCCTGTGGCTTCTTTCCTGCATGTTGCTCCCTGCTCTTTCTCCCCGTTTCCTGCACTATCAACTGTTATGTCCTGTCAAATAAAAAGGCCAAAGAACCCAGAAATAATCTACCTTTACTGTTATTACTGTGAAGAGGTTTAAAATCTATCCTTTTTCTGCTGCTGTCAATAAGGTTTTGGTAGATTCCTTAATTTTTACTGGGGGTAAAAAAAGTGGTGATGGTACAATGGAATGGGATGTCAGTAATGTCAACAATATCATAGGTAAATTACATACTTTCATCTGAAAGTACAGCATACCTGAAGTGAAATTTGAACCTTTTATTTATTGAGTCTTTTTGAGTCTTACCATTGGAGTAGCATAAAGCAAAAAATGTTGTGCTTTCCTTCAGGAGAATTTGACATGGTCATGTGCTCTCATTAGTCATATAATAACTGCTCACAACTTTGTGAATTACTTGACATAATGAAAAACTGCCACATGAACTGGAAATCACCTTTTTCAACCTCACAGCAGTCTTTACATAAAGAAATACTGTCCTCTAGTGAAGAAGATTGGTACAACATTTCAAAGATTATGAACCCCTGATTTGAAGACCTTGCTGAATTGTCCCTTATGTTCACCTAGCTGATCTGAAAGTTGTTCCTTTTATGACTCTGCTTTCAGTGTGATCCGGCCTCACCATCTTGGCTTATTAACGTATTTCTTTTTTTTCTGTCTTACTCTTTTTCCTCATTCTTTTTTACTTTGATTGCTGGTCATCCATATTGCCATTTCTCATTCCTCCTGCCATTTCTCATTCCTCCTGCCTCTCTCCCTTCATTCTCTTTTTTCCATCTTTCTTTTGCAATGATTTCTTTCACTGACCTCTCAGGGTTATAAAGCCATGGAGCGTGCCACCTCTTTTAAATCCTGTCTGAAGAAGGAGCTTGCAAGCAGATAAGTACCATTGACAACGAAAAAGCTGGGATATATTCATAATCTTTATTGTTTTAAGAGTTGTGTTTCTGTTTTAAATGATGCAGTATATTAGCAAGTGACAGAGGTCGTTACTAATACTTGAGTTTCAGCACTATCCAGATAGTTGAACAGTTTGGAATTATGTTTTTTCAATTCTGAAAAAATTCCCACTCACTTATTTCCTGTTTCCAATACAGAAAATGATCGATGAATGCAAAATTCTTTGTTTCTAATGTACTGTTTCAGAAAACTATACTGGAACAAGAAGGTGTCCTCAGGGCCCTTCTTATGACTGTGCCTGTCTTTGCTCCATGTTTACCAGGTGAAGGGCCGGCACCACACCTCCTTCTCTGACTGTGTCCATTCCGAGGCCAGAAAACAAGTACAGCAGCTCTGGAGGAGATACCAAGAGAAGTCATAGAAGAAGAGAGTGACAGGAGGCATGGAAAAAAATAAAATAAAAATGAGGAGAAGGTCATCGTGATGAACCCATTGACATGAGCTCTGACTTAATTGTCAGTGGTATGAAAAAGAACTGTTTTCATGGTTGGATCGCCAATGGACCCCCAAAACAGATGACTTCAGTTGTAAAAACTTGTCTACACACAGCTGACTGACACTCATTATACTAACAATAACGCACAATATGTTTTCCCTGTGTTTTCCTGTTTGTCTACTTGAAACCAATTATGCCAAAAAATGATTTACAGTTGATAAAGAACAAAAAGGAATATAACTTGACATATTAATTCTTCAAGCATGAAAATGCCATAACAGTCGGCAAGACAGTGGTTATTTTGTAATTAAGCTGTAAATGTGATATTAGAAATGTACTTTATACTAACCTGCATAAAGATGTTAAAAAAGTTTGAACCGCTGCACTACAACCTGTAAAAACTAAAACAGCACAACTGATACAACATTATGCAATAAAACACTAAGACAACAATGTTACCTGAATGAGGTCAACAACTGTGATATTATTAATTAAATGAGAGGATAAAATCTCCAAGACAGTGAAATTAACTGACAGTACTATTTATCCGCCAAACTTTAATCATCTCTATCTGACTAATCATCATATTCAGTCATTTGGCCTGATTTTACTATTGTATACATTTTATAACAGATGAGACCATTTGAACACTGTTGCTACAGTCAAACCTACTATTTTAATCTCAATACTGTACAACTGATATGTACTGATATGTTTGACTAGCACAAAATCCCTTTTATTTAAACTTTACTGTATTTTTTTATTACTGACCCTTGTCTTGACACTTACGCAGTAATTAACTGGAACTCAGAGGTGCCTTGTCTCCATTCCCTAGCTGAAAAATATAAACCAGACTTGCGGCAGACAATCAAGACAAGCGGCAACACATTAAAAATCATACATCTGTGCCATTATATGACATTAAGTATTTTTGATCATTTTTGAAGGAAGATGAGTAGATTTATGTGTAATGATACAGTGTGGGTTTGCTTAATTGCCTCTTAGTGGGGCCTTGAGGAAGGGAATATGATAGGAGTGCATATATGTGAAAGAAGAAAGTACTTTAGTCTACTGTGACTTATTGTAGGTAGCCCTTTGATTAATTCAACCAACAAATGAACCGTGGGCAGCGGCTCATGATGTATGGATGACGATACCTTTGATTGTCATAGCAAGGAGTCTGAATTGAAAGTAGAGCAGGTCAGTTTGCTCTGTTTATTACACTCACCGGCCACTTTATTAGGTATACCTGTCCAACTGCTCGTTAACACTTAATTTCTAATCAGCCAATCACATGGCGGCAACTTAGTGCATTTAGGCATGTAGACATGGTCAAGACAATCTCCTGCAGTTCAAACCGAGCATCAGTATGGGGAAGAAAGGTGATTTGAGTGACTTTGAACGTGGCATGGTTGTTGGTGCCAGAAGGGCTGGTCTGAGTATTTCAGAAACTGCTGATCTACTGGGATTTTCACGCACAACCATCTCTAGGGTTTACAGAGAATGGTCCGAAAAAGAAAAAATATCCAGTGAGCGGCAGTTCTGTGGGCGGAAATGCCTTGTTGATGCCAGAGGTCAGAGGAGAATGGCCAGACTGGTTCGAGCTGATAGAAAGGCAACAGTGACTCAAATAACCACCCGTTACAACCAAGGTAGGCAGAAGAGCATCTCTGAACGCACAGTACGTCGAACTTTGAGGCAGATGGGCTACAGCAGCAGAAGACCACGCTGGGTGCCACTCCTTTCAGCTAAGAACAGGAAACTGAGGCTACAATTTGCACAAGCTCATCGAAATTGGACAATAGAAGATTGGAAAAACGTTGCCTGGTCTGATGAGTCTCGATTTCTGCTGCGACATTCGGATGGTAGGGTCAGAATTTGGCGTCAACAACATGAAAGCATGGATCCATCCTGCCTTGTATCAACGGTTCAGGCTGGTGGTGGTGGTGTCATGGTGTGGGGAATATTTTCTTGGCACTCTTTGGGCCCCTTGGTACCAATTGAGCATCGTTGCAACGCCACAGCCTACCTGAGTATTGTTGCTGACCATGTCCATCCCTTTATGACCACAATGTACCCAACTTCTGATGGCTACTTTCAGCAGGATAATGCGCCATGTCATAAAGCTGGAATCATCTCAGACTGGTTTCTTGAACATGACAATGAGTTCACTGTACTCAAATGGCCTCCACAGTCACCAGATCTCAATCCAATAGAGCATCTTTGGGATGTGGTGGAACGGGAGATTCGCATCATGGATGTGCAGCCAACAAATCTGCGGCAACTGTGTGATGCCATCATGTCAATATGGACCAAGCTCTCTGAGGAATGCTTCCAGCACCTTGTTGAATCTATGCCACGAAGAATTGAGGCAGTTCTGAAGGCAAAAGGGGGTCCAACCCGTTACTAGCATGGTGTACCTAATAAAGTGGCCGGTGAGTGTATAGTTTCAGTTTCAGTGCTCTATTCAAGAATAAAGCAGGTTTAGATGGTTCTCTTATGAGATTTTTTGAGGAATACGTAACGTGTGTGTGTATACTTTACATTTTATTTTTATTTTTTTTTGCTATGTACAGTGGCTGAGTGTATTTTGTAACATGGAATTTTCTAATGTAGGTTGAGAATGCAGTCAGACAGGGGTGTCATGCACTGGTGTATAAAGGAGGTAGAATGGACACACAAGGATGAGTTGAGAGTTTTTTAAAAAGGAAGGCAAGTCAAATGCGAATAACACAAGTTAGACCACATTTTGCAGGTCCTTTGCATCAGCTCTAGATTCCACACCCATGCCAGCCTAAGAAAAGTCCCCCCCAACTTTTTAAGGATTACAGGCAATTTTAAACATTTGCCTGATCCACCATGATTGCCTTTAAACTGTAGACAGATAGTCTCCTTCAGGGATGTTACAGGTACAATGTGGAGAACAATAAATCCCTATACCGATTACAGAGCGCCATGAACACTAAAACAGAGGTCCATAGTCTCAAAGATATAAAGGAGGATCTGAAATGTGAGGTCTTTACAGAGAATAAACCATCAAAACACTTTTTTCATTAAAACATCAATTCTAATGTATTCATTTAATTTAAAGCAATTTTGTTATGGAAACAATTAGGGTTGGGCGATATGGGAAAAAGTTTATCACAATATATTTTTTCATATCAGTTGATATTGATATATATCACGATATAAAAAATGAAATTTAACAGTGCTTATTGGTAGCATGTCTTTTGCAGTACTATAAGCTACTGCATCTGTGAGGCCTTTGTGTCTCTTCTGTGGCGTATCTTGTGGACCCAGAAGCAGACACAGAGACAGATAGCAAATTAAAGATGTATTTAATGTCCAAATCAGGGAAAAAGGCACGAGAGAAAGTCCGGTTTGCTGGCTGGCTGTTGTGTGGGCTGGAGACACTGTGGACGAACAGATGAGAATAAGGTTAGAAGTAATACAAGGAATCACAGGGAGCAAAAGTCACACGCACTTAACAAGGGGAAAGGCCAGGAGAAGCGTCTGTACCACTCAGGCGTGAAGACAATACTCAGGCGCTGAGACTGAGGGCTGCTGGCTTCTTCAAGGACCTTGATTGCAGAGCAGGTGTGGAGTCTCACTCAGCCTCAGCGACCGGGGGAAGGGAAAGTGCACTGAAACAACAGTCAAGCCAGACCAGGAACACAAGGAAAACAGGAAGTTAAACTAAAATAAAACAGGAAGAAGAGGCGTCTCACCACATTTTCGATGTTCTGACATATTGTCATAAGGCGTTGCGCTAGAGAAAGCGGACTGGATGGTTGGCTGTTTTGGCTGCTCAGGCACCGTAGGCTTTTTGCAGCGCTTGGGGTTTGTAACCTTTTGCATTGCGCATGCTGTACCGCGTGGCGCTGCTTCAGGTAGTGAAAAAGGTTTGAGGTATTCCCCGACTTTGCAAGAACATGTACTCGACATGATTTGCAGTGCACATTACTCTGCTTCATGTCTGACCTCAAAAAAACAAAATACCTTCACACCACCGAGGTTGTCATGTTAGTGTTGTTGACGATGTCTTCATCTGTTGAGCCTTCATCTGCGTTTCTGTCGGGGGTAGCACTCATTTTCTTTTTTTCTCACCAACAGTGCTGTCGGCCTCACCTGTTAAAGTGCTACGGTTGTGTGTAGCTGCAGCCTGCTACTACATAGTTGTTTGCTACTTGGTTCTAATTCAGCACGATTGGATCAGCGCGAAGCGGACCCGGAGCAACTTCCCTTTTCATTGGCTATTCATATAGTCTACCAAAACATGGCATAATGCTAGCTATCAAAAAGCATATTGACCATGTTTTATATTGGTATTGCGGGAAATTTATTTTCAACATATATCGTTATTGTTCTATTGCCCAGCCATAGAAACAATTTGACCCAGAAGTAGAGAACGTAGGCTGTTGTTCTCTATGCACAGAAAACAATGATCAATGACAATGATCAACTTTGGGGTTTTTTTTTTAAACAGGGGGACAAAGTGCTTTACAGATGTAGTTACTGCTCTAAAATATTGATATGATAGGAGTATATTTAGACTATTTTTAGTAGCCTTCTAAAGAAAATCGACTGAATTTAATTGAAGTAAAGGCTTCAGTGGAATTTATAATGAAACACAAAGTTTCCAGTTTTTGTTGGATTACCGATGAGACAAAGGCCTACTTAGCTATAGTTTTCAAAACGTTGTCGTTTTGTACCGAAATAAGGAAGGTTTTTAAATTAAAATGCTTTTAAACTCTTAAACTAGTTGACGAAAAATAACCTACACTTTACTTCAAGAGATATTTATATTCCATTGAGATTAAAGTAAATTAAAGATAATATTAAACTTTTAGATATAACCTACCAGTGTAAGGGTTTTTCTAAAGTAAACAGCATTTTAAATCTCCATGGTAACCTGTAACGATGTAAAAACTTTAAATCATTACAAGCAAAGGAGAGCGGTCATTTCTGAAGATCAAATCTGAAGAGAATAGCACGAAAAACTTAAGCGGCTCACGAACTTACAACTTTTGACGGCTTCATCGTAAATAAAACCTCACCAGACGACCAAGGACTCCGACAAACACCTCTAACCAACACCTGAACAGAGAGGACAACATCTACTACATGGAGACCGTAAGATTTCATGACAATATTATCATACAAACTTGTGTTACTGTCGAGACTTTCGTGATGGTTAAGCGATGCATCGACAAGGATTAAATGTGTGCATAGATATTTACAGTGTTTATGACGTTAATGTGACAGGCATTATCAAAACTAGAAAAAATTGCATTTCCTTGCAGAAAATGCGTGGAAATGCTGAGTGCTGGAAGCTGAAAAAGCAATGCTAAACTGTTAAAAAAAAATGGAGGAAGGTTTAAATGTAAACTTGGTTAAAGAGCTGGAGAAAGAAAAGTAGAAGTTAGATGAAAGTGAAAATTGCTGAAGTACAAATAGTATGAATGTGCTTCATAAATTAAAATTGCATTCATGCTAAATAAGGCTAGAAAAACTGTCTGAAATTGCAAAATAATTGTATAAGGAAGAAAATTACCTTAATACACAGAAAAGTAAGAAGCGGCATAAGTTTAAGTTGAAGTACTAGAAGAAGTATGATAATAGGTAGTTGTATTAGTGATATTAGTAGTCATGTAAGCAGTAGAAGTAGTTTTAGAATAGAAGAAGCAGTAGAGCTCGTGGTAGAAGTAAGAGTAGAAGTAAAAAAAAATATTAAGAGAAGCAAGAGCAGTGGAGGTAGAAGTGAAGATACAAGTTAAAATGATATAAGTAGTAATTGTAGTGGTAGAACTGGGATTTTGTTTGAAGAATTAAAACATACATAAATAATGGGAATGATTTTGAAGTGGGAAACATTTTAAATAATTAGAAGTCCTAAAGTGTTAAATAGGTTTTAAGTATCAGAAAGGTTTGAATCAGTTTGAATGAGTTTGGATTTGTCTGATGTGGTATCTGGAGTACTACATCACTATGTACAAATACTATGGTAAGGAAACATTGAGCTCAGTGAGAAGAGGTGTGCTGAAGTTTGAGTGTGTGAGAGAAGCTTTTGTTGTGTGTGTGTGAGAGGAGTGTGTGTATGGGTGCTGAGCTGTGAGTGTGAGTGCAAAAGAGTGTGTGCAGTGAGTGGTGTGTGCACAAAGTTGGGGAATGGTCTAGCATAAGTATAAGTGATTAACTTATGATAAAGTGATAAATGATTGCTTATTAAATATATAATGATATGATATAAAAAATTAACATATAAGGGAAGAGATACTGTTGCCTTTGTAATGTTAAAACCATATGAGCCCTGTTTTTCTTTGTACAGGGACGTTAATAGAATAAGTAACTGCTATGAGCCTCTCAGGATAAAGAGGACATTTGTACACCTAATAGTAAGAAATGAGCCCCTTATTAGATGAGGAGGACTTTGGAATAAGAATAAGTAAATAGAATAAGTTAATAGAATAAGTAACTGCTATGAGCCTCTCAGGATAAAGAGGACATTTGTACACCTAATAGTAAGAAATGAGCCCCTTATTAGATTAGGAGGACTTTGGATGGTGATAACATCCTTGACTAATATTGCAATGAAAGAAGTGTAAAAACCAGCAAGCACATTTGTCTTCATACAGATACAGGAAAAAACAGAGTAAGAGAGTGGGGTAAAATAGAGTGATTTGCTAACTGATGGGTATGGTTTTCCTCTGTGTGTGTGTGTGAATATTTAAAGTGAATGGTCACTTGCTGATGATTATGTTTAGAGGGAAGTCCTAGTTAAAGATTAGGAGAATCCAGGGAACTTTTTCTCCCGCTTTCTTTCTCTTCTTACAGGCCTGAGAACAGAAAGAAAGCCAAAACATCTAGTTTAACTATCCTAGTTGTGTGAAAATTTTAAATGATATACCGTGATAAGGGGAATGGTGTATAATAAATTTAGGTAGTCTTATGGTATAAGAAATCTTTCAATAGTGGTAGGAAATGTTGTTTTCAAGTGTATTGAGTGAATTAAACATTTGATTTGTTCTTTGTCCCTAACTCTGATGCATGAGAGGGGAGAGGAGAATGAAAGGCATCTGACGCTGGAGCACCCATAAGACAGATAAGAAGATTATTGGCTGTGCTGCAACAAGAGGGGGCTTGCGGATGAGAGGCTCACCAGGTCCAGCTCCCATTTGACAGGCCAGTAGAGTTTTATCTACAAACTCTTCTCCTATGTGTCTGCTGCTACTTAGTTGTACATACACATTTATAGTGGGAACACATTTAGTTGGGTGTATATATTTGTTAGTGCTAGACAATAAGAGCAGTAGTTTTGTTGGTAAAAAGAAAGGCTTGGCATTAGACTGACCAGTTGAAAGGGCTGATTAAGTACCGGATTATTGTTGAATTAAAAGAGCATTTCCAAGAGGTCTAAATTTTGCTGAAACGTGTGGATGTGGTTTGTCATTGCTGCTTGGTAAAATCACACAGATTGATCTTTTTTGGGTGTTGATAAGTTTTTGGTCTCAGGGGAGGCTTCATGAGAAGCACTAAGGGACAATCGCGCCCACTCAGAGGACATGTAAACCCTGATAGGGGGCCAGAACCTGGATTTTAGGGGTGCCCAGAAGACCTAAAAGGGGGATGTCAGCTGGTAGTGTCAGGGCCAGAACAAGAGCCAACCATTGAGGTGAAAGTGAATGATAAACCATTAACAGTTATGGCAGATTGCGGAGCTGCCTTCACCTGTGTTAGGCCCAAAGATGCTATACATCTCCCCATGTCTGGCCAATTGGTACGGACAATAGGTTTTGAGGGTGTGAAACAGCTGATACCTCTTACAGAACCCGTTGAGCTCTGCTATAAAAATCAAAAGACCACAATACCGATACTAGTGTCAGAACAAACACCTATTGCACTTTTGGGCAGAGATGCTTTGTGTAGGTTGAAGTGCACAATACGATGCACACCAGACGGCTGTCTGGTGGATGTACCAAGTGATAGTTGGCAACAACTATTTATGAAAACAGAGACTGAAGCGTCTGCAGTGTTTTGGATTGGGAACCTTAGCCAGGAGTTGCTAGAGCCAGCAAAGCTGTGGGAGAAATTTATTGTGGCCAATATGACTGAGGTGAAGTTACCTGAGTATCCAGACCACTGTACACTGAAGTATTTTAAAGATGCTACACAGACCAACTCAGCAGACTGGTTGAAGCAACAACCAAAACAAGTCCAGCTTAGCTCCAGTTCAATAATTTGGGGCCACAAGGAGCAGCTATGAAGATAGAGAGTAATGAATATCTTGAAAAAGAACATGACATCGAAGAAAGCATTCCTCACGTGACTTTGATGGTGGCCGAGACCTATGAACAGAAGCATATAGGCTCAATGATGGTAGAAGCAGAGAAAGCTATTTTCACACCAGTTAAGGAAAATCCTGCTATTTGGGTGAGTGAGGATCAGCAGTTCATAAGGATTGTTATCTCTGCTCACGTACAGGGTCAGCCACAAGCTGTACAGATGACACATGAGTCAATTTGCAGTGCTAAACTTGACTCAGACGCTATAAAAGAAGACACGCTACAACACGTGCCAGAACATCTGTGGTCTCGATATAGCACTGGTATTGGACTGAAGGAATCAGAGAGATATTCAAAACTACGGTCAGACTTGCAAGCCCTTCCACTTCAGAAAGCAGATGTAGAGTATTGGACTTATGGGTCGTGTTATCGGATTGGAGACAAATTGAGCGCTGGCTATGCAGTTGTAAAAGCTGAAGGAGATGGATTTGTTGTCGAAAAGGCAAAAACAGTGCAACAACCAGCATCTGCACAGCTGGCTGAACTTGTAGGACTAACTGAGGCATGTCTTTTGGCAGAGGACAAACAAGTGACAATTTACACAGACTCTGCATATGCACATAATGTTTGTCACTTGTTCGGAGCACTGTGGAAAAATCGGGGATTTAAAAAAAAAAAAAAAAAAACAGATGGGTCTCCTATACAGCATCATGCCCAGATAACCAAATTGCTGCATGCAATGATGAAGCCGAAAGAAATAGCAATAGCTAAGTGTGCAGCACATAAAGGGGACATGTCAAGAGTAACTCAGGGCAACAGAGCAGCTGATGAGGCTGCAAAAGCTGTTACTGTAACGGGTATTGACTGGACCCAATTGCAGCACAAACAAGCAGGTTCACTTTAACAACAGTCTTTATTGAACACCAAATCCAATGAAGCAGCAGAGTATAGCAGGTGGATATGGCAGGATTCGAACTCGGGTCTTCCGGGTGATAGGCGAGCAGATTAGCAGTGGACCACAGGTCAGGAAAGAGTTTTGGACTCGTGAGCAGGGAATTGTCCACAGTCTTAATTTGCTCCACGAGTGTAGTGAAGGGGAAAATGCTCAACTCACAGCTGGAGGAAGATTTCTTGGAGAGTGGTTCAGGTGAGGACTGGGTGAGGATCCAGAGCTTGCAGAGGAGCTGGCAGAACCAACGTCGGCAGAGGAGGTGAGTTGGCGAGGTGAAGCTGACGAGAAGGGGGATCTCAACAGAGCAGGAACAGGCTGAGTGCCATTCAGCCGCAGGCAGACGAATAGCAGGAAACAGGCAGGCAAAGCTCGTAGTCAAGGACAGAAGGCAGGCAGGTTTACCGGGGCTGAGGCGAGAAGCAAAGGTCAGGGGCAGATCAGGTCGATACCAGGTAAGCAGTCCGGGAATTAACGCTGGAGAGTCAGGCATGAGAGCGAAGACAATCTGGCAAAGAGTGAGGGGAAAGAAGCTGCATATATACTGGCCTGATTGGAGATGATGAGCAGGTGAGAGCAGCAGGTGGAAGCAGTTAGCTGATGAGGGGTGTGGCTGAGCAGCAGAGCAGGAGAGGGGCAGAGCAGACTGTTACAGTTACAGGGGCAGATAAAGAGGGCAAAGTTCTTCTGATCACTCATGAATTAGACTTAGAAGATAAAATCACCCTCAAAGACATAGTCTCAATGCAAGAAGCGGCCTCTGAAATAGACAAACATCTCCTTATATTTATCTCTATACAATAGACACACTCAAGGATGAGAGTGAAGATGATGAGCAGCCGAAAGAAGAAGAGAAGATGAGAACAGCAGCAAAGATGGTGAACATGGACAAGAGTTTCCGGGCATGAAGGTACACTGACTGCATCCTTTGTTCTTTTCTTTCAGAATGTAATCACTTCTTAAAGATTGGTCTCTACATACTTTGGTGGATATCTGTTAAAGGATATTGTATTTTAATATTTTTGTCTTTTCATTATAGTTTAACAAGTGTAAGAGTGGCCTCCTAACACAGCAGTTATCCAGCTGGTGACTGAAAAGGACAGAAGAAACTCTGGAAGGAGAGCAGCCATGTTGACACGGAGGCTGCACCACATTTTGCACATGCAAATAAATTATGACATTTTATTTTAAACCATGTCTTAAGTTGTGTTTTCGAAAGATGAAAGTTAAACTAAACTAAACTAAACTAAACTAAACCAAACTAAAGCCCTATGCTATTGCTATTAACAGCTGTATTGACGGATTTAGCCTCTGTACAGCCATTTCCAGCCATTTCCCCCTCCACAAAAGCAGCATTTCTCATATATCTCAAATATAAGTTCTGATACTCATGACAGTGTAATGCTCATATACCAAAGGATTAAGTATCTCCATGTTTGTGAAACCTATACTAAAGTACAATTCATCTAAATGCTCCACAGTGCTGATTTTAACAACTCTCCTTCACAACAGGTAACTTTACGACTTAATACTGATATTAATGACTTTATTCTCCCAAAAAATAACTTTATTCTTTAAGATTTAAAAACGTTTTTTTTCTAATTGTGCCCTTATACTCCGTTGTATTTAAGAGATAATTATACTAATAATTATCTTCACCCCCCCCCCCCCAAGGAAATCTCACTCTAAGCTTAGTTCAAAACTTGAGAGCCCTGCAGATCCTTTTGGTCAACTTTAGACATAAGATTAAATTTGATCACAAAAGTTGGATATTTTATTAAGAAGAAAGTGAAAGCAGGGTTAACTTGTTTTTCCTCTGTCTTTACAGCAATACATTTTGGTGTGATAAGTGTGCTTGGCTAAAATTGATCAGAAACAAGATATATGTGGAACTATAATATACAATAAAAATGTATTTAAAAAAAAGGTTGGAAATATAGATGTATAAACTTGTTTTAATAAAGGAATTATAAACTTAATTGCGGGAATGTATTGACAAAAAAATGCAGCAAATGTCTTACAGTATTAAACGTTTAAGATCATAAGAACAGGTAGCCTTCCTTGGTATTATACTTTTACTGTTTATTTATATCTTCTTTGGTTTTTTAATGTCAATATTATTGTCCTAAAATGATAGCGGTGTCTCTAAATATTTGATACAACTCATGTTTGAATAGCCTTATACTACATTAGTCGTCCAAAAAAGTTCCGGATCCACATTCCGTACCGGCAGGTGGCGGTAATGCAGATTTGACAACAGCCAATAAAACAAGAAGAAGGGCCTAAACGGGAAGTTACGCCTTATAGATACCCGCAGCTTGACGTCACACGTAAATAAGTTGATCAAGCCTCAGCTGTTTTTTTAAGAAAGGTTGTCTTCCTTTGGGTATTTATCGAATAGCACTCCAGTGATATTATCGAAAATCGTACAATGTCATAGAAACAATCGGACTATTATTTTGTTGTACAGGAAAGTATGTGACACGCGACTTTGTGACACTACTTGAAAATCAGCCTCGTGTAAATAACAAACCGGAGCGTCCAACAGCTAACAGGAGTTAGCAGGAAATCCTCCACAGCGATCTCCCTCTCACTTTCTCTTCAGTTTCGCCCGTTGGTTCGCGGATTCTGTCAACGAGCCCAGTCGGTGGTCTCGCCAGGAGAGGATGAACTGGCTTTTCCCCCTGTCCAAAGGCTCCGGACCGCTCCCTCCTCTGAACAGCCTCCAGCAACAAAGACAGCGGCAGATCGAGTCGCTGAAAGCCGCTCATCCCAGGTAACACCAGCAGGGAAGGGTCCGATAGAAGAGCCAGCTCCAGCTAACAGGCTTATTACTTAGCATAACGTTGACCCCTTTCCCATAAATCGATCACCGCTGTGTTTGGTGATCAATGGGCTGACGGTTTTCACAGACACACGTCAGCTGAGATGAACACATCTCATGTTTACATAGATTTTCCAGGAACTTTGTTGGTATTTAAGTCGCATGAGATGTGCTCGGCCCTGGCTGTTGTTCCTGAGAGTTTATGGATTAAAAAGAAAACCATTTGAGTATAGGAAAGCTTCTTTAAGCTGTCCCAGCCTGATCGTTGCCTTTGTTTACAAGCTTCCTCGAGTCACCAGGCTGTGATTTGCTGAGGCACAGTGTTGGCTCATCAGCTCATGAAGTCACAGTTTCAGTGTCTATTTTTGGGGTTGGTGACAGGGGTTGAAGCCCGGCCTGCCCTGTTCTGTTATGACTCCAGTTTATGCCAAACCGTATCATTACGCATTTATTTGTAGGAGGAGTCTGTATTAATTAAATGTGGAGATTAAAGTATTAGCCTTTGTTTACTGAGGGACTCTCTATGCTGCTCAGACACAATGTTATTTTGTTTTTCTACCAGGTTGGACATTAAAAGATGGGGGAAAAAAAGTACACCATGTTACAAAGAGACCCAGTGACAGCCTGATTGCAATGAAAGTGTTTCTTTCCAACTATGTATGGGAATGCAGAGGTCACTGAGGCTAACATTAATGTGCTGTGGTGATGGCTGCGCTTATGTGTCTTTAGCGTGGCATTGTTGTTCAGAATAAGCTCGTCGGAAAAGAGTTTTTACTCATGAAATTGTGCCGGGGTTGGTGGATGGCAGTTTTCTTGAAAAGCAGCTCTTAGAAGGCCATATGATATGGTATGGAAGAGCTTTTTTTATTCAAAGGTAAAAGATGTAAAGTTTATGAAATCATTTGATCCCAACAGTGAGACAACCTGCCTACCATTAACAGTTGAATATTTCAGGTGTTGCATTTGCTAATAATATGGATTTTTACTTATGGTAATGTTTTGATAAATTAAACATCAATCCCTTACATAAACCTGTAAGGAGTTTTCAGATATTGTTAAAAAAATGTTGCGAGTGTAAAGCTTAAAAAAAGAGTCAGTAAAAATAACTTATTCCTTTTTTTTTCCTACAAGTTCAGATATACAGGTAGATGGTGTAAAAATGCTGTAAAATAGACACACCCATGTAATAATGCATGCCTTTGTAAACTGTGTAACATGTGAGAAGATGAAAGAACTGAAAAGAAAATTTGAATTGGAAAGATAAGATAATTACAGAGAGAAAATAGGGAGTTTGAACGAGGTGTGCAGTGAATGACAATCAAACTCTTCATCTGTTCTTGTCCACACCTCTGATATTAGAAACACACACACACCCATTTAGGAGAGGGTCTGGATTAGCCCGTAATGGTATGTGTCTATAATAGAAAGACCAAACTTGGTGTCATGCTAGATGCTTAGGACGATTACCTGACTACCCATCCTCGATGTTCACAATAGAGCCATTTACTTTGTGTCATGTAGAACAAATTATTTTGGTATATTTAAGAACATATGTTTTAAAATATGTGTGAATCTAACTTTTCCAGTCTCTCAATGTGCTGTTTGTGGTTTCATACCCTGACATAATCATCATGTTTCTGTTGTCCGGCAGCCTTGCAGAGATCCAGAAAGATGTGGAATACAGAATACCATTCACAGTCAACAATTCTACCATCAGTGTCAACGTGTGAGTACATTTTCACATTCACAGTCATTATGTCAATAGAAAGTGGTCGACTGGCTTCACAGGTGAGGTGCACATTAGTCCTTAACTTTTAGCATTACACCTGAAATGAGATCTTAACACCTTGTTTGTTTAAGACTCTCAAAGAAGAAATACAAGAAAAGCCAGATGAGGCACTTGAAACTTAAACAAATGCTCGACTAGTCAGTCCCCACTCATTGACCCATCTAGACACTGTATGCTTGCAGTTGTTTCAAAGATAACTTTTACCACACCTCAAAGCCCAAAAGGCAAGTCTATTTATGAAAAAAACATATATTAAAGAGAAACTGCACTTATTGTACATTATATTTTGTGGTATACCTGGGATCCTACATTCCTGTGAGCTGAAACTGTCATACTTTTTTTCTCCCTCCTGCAGTCTGCTACCTCCTCAGTTCCCCCAGGAGAAACCCGTTGTCAGTGTCTACCCTCCAGTTGGTCACCATCTAGTTGACAGCAATAATGGCACCATGATTACCAGCCCTCTCATCTCTAATGTAAGAAGTTCTTCCATTTTGTTCATTTTCATTCAGAAAAGTGTAAGTGTCTCTTGTTTATTTATTATTGGTAAATGTAAAATATTACTGGTATATTCACAGCTTATATTCTATAGTTGCCCTGTGTTGTTAAAATTCAGGATCCCTAACAGCCATAGAAAAAAAGTCTGTCCTAAATAATAGAAAATTTTGCACTTGTAGGTACCCCCCAATAAGCCTTTCTGTGTAAGTGCTCTTACACTATTAGTAGTTCCCCTTGAATCAAAAGCTTTATTTTTCATTTTCTATTACCTTTGTCTACCCATCGGCTCTCATTGAGGAAATCTCTTTTAAAGGTGGGGTCAGGCAGGATCTGAGGAAGTGGCAGTTTTCAGGAGAAATCTTGAATGTAAACTCTACCCCTCCCAACCAGTTTTCCCCTCAGCTCCTCCTCTCCCCTCCCTCTCTGCTCCAGCAAGCCCCGCCCACAAACAGATGCTCTTGCTCGTTCGTGTCTTTCAATTAAATTCAGATATAATGCAGATAAATACTTCAGATAATGACAAATGGGGCCCAGTCAAGGTGAAAATAAAAAGCATTGGTGCTACTGTAGATGCCAACAGACTACCAGCAAACACAATGTTTGCAGGACTTCTACAACTAGGATAAAGTGACATAGTCCAGGACCCGAGGTAGACAGTTTAGTGGCGCTACAACACGCTACAGCAGGTCCCGTTTGACAAGAAACACTTCTGTTACAGACACTTGGCTTACTTTGTTAAAGCGGTTTACCTGTCCAGCAGAAAGGTTACAGGGTCCGTAAGAACCTGAAGCGTCCCCCATCGTTTATGCTGATGTTGACCACCAGAGTCTCCGATATTTACTTCATTTTCCTGCCTGTGTTGGCAATTGTGGCCAAAAGAGGATTCAGACACTTTTCCCTACTTTCTGGTTGGTTTCTACTGTTGGATATTGTAGCATGCTAACTTTGTTTGGTCTCATGAACATTATTCAAGGATGTGGAGCGTGCCTCACAACATGAGGGAGAAGCGTCTGCCTCACAACCAATCAGGTTGGGGGAGGCTGAGAACAGCTTTGTTTACAGTCAGAAAGAGCGGACCGCTAAAGAATTTTAAAATGTTGACTTCACAGGCATAAGAACACAGCGATATCGTTATATTACCAAATGTCATCAATAACTAATAACTATTGACTGATATTAAAAGCTTTTTTGTATATACACCACAAAAAAAGATGCCTTTGAAATGGATTCCTGCCTACCCCACCTTTAATCATATTAATTACTTTTACGAACCCTGATGTTTTTGATTTCTTCAAGGAAAGTAAATCTCTTTGTATGCCAGTCTCTCAGTTTTTGTCGTTGCGTATTTCGCAGTTTGGAATGCACTCAGACCTTGGAAAAGTCATTCAGAGTCTGCTGGATGAGTTCTGGAAGAGTCCTCCTGCCTTGATGTCATCTGGCCCTGCTGGCTTTCCATAGTGAGTCTCCACCTCCGGTCATGGACGCCTGTCTCTCAATACCTGCACATTTTAGCATAATTTTCAGATTTTCCACAGCCTAGTCTTTTTTTTCCTCATCAAACTGTTATTACTGTCATTTTTATTTCTCTGTGACAGTGAGGTCAGTCAAGGTTTGATGCAATAGCATTTGACTTTTAGTTTTTTCTTTTATACTTGAGCAAGCTGATAAATCGGTCTCTGTTATTGAATTATCTTCTCTCTTCATAATTACCACAGCAGCATGTACAAGCCTTCAAGTATGGCCCCGTACCCCACGCAGGCTTTCCATTACCCTCGCCATGTAGGTCCCAGTCATACGCCGCCTGCTGGAGGCCCAGCTCCATCTCCAGCTCCAGTGCCTCACTCAGGGGTTGATAGTACCCATGGGCCCCCTCGAGCTCCAGCACCATATGGCCTGATAACTGACCTGCCACTGCCTGTTCCTACAGGAGACACACAGGTACTTTAATCATAGGTGATGTTTGGGGGTGGCGGTATCATTCTGTTAAGGCTAAAAGAGGGCACTCGTGTTTGTTCAAAGTTTGTAAAAACAACAACAGAAAATAAAAATCAGCATGCACCAAGCAATTTCAAGCACACGAGTACTCCATAGGTCAATAAAAGTGAATGATTACAACAAGTCATTAAGCCGTGCAAACAAGAATGTGCTCAGAAGTCCCTGGCTACAGAGTCTCACTGTCCTTTCAGGCACAGATCTACAGACTGGTCTTGTCTTAAAAATAAATTCTATTTAACAGTTCACCCCAGAGTGTCTTCCCATGGATTTAGACTCACTTTTTGCTCCTTCTGTGTCAAGTCAAAGCACCTGGGCTGGCTCAGGCTTCCAGATAGCTCCTGCAGGACCACCCTAAACACCCTAACACACCCCACAATAGTGTTATGAAGCCCCCATCTGCAGAGTTGTAGAATCCTGATGGACACAGACTCACCTCAGACCATCTTTCCTTGGATTTCCTTGAATCCTCCAGGATTTTTTGAAACTGTGGGGGAAAACATTATCATAACTGAAAAGTTTTATAAATTAATTATTCAATACAAACATAATTTAGCCTTAATGGCACAGTTTGCTGCCAGGCTCAGAGCATTTAATTTTTCTTGTTTCCATAAAGAAGAGCTCCAAGGCTCAGGTATGTCTTCACCTACACATAAAAGCAATTAAAAGTGAGGGGTGTCATATAATGTAAAATAGCCCTTGAGCCTCTACTACAGATAATATGAACAAAGTTGGTGGTAACCAAGGAGACCAGGGAGTGTGACAGGTCATGTTCATGCACTATAGTGTTCTTCTAACGTGCTCTGTTCATGTGCAATAAAGAGTTAAATGGACATAACGTCATCTGAAAAAACAGTGAAGGAAAAAACATAATTAATGTTAAACGTTATTGTCGCTAATGTGTTATTAACGCTGACGTTAACATCATGGTCATTTTCACAGGCTTGAGCTAAATAATTGCTAAACTTATCCTTCTTAGGTACCTTTCTTTCACCCTATTCTGTGTGCCTTTAATCCGCTCATTAGCCTCTTCACCGCCACTCCTGAGGTGTTTTGGGAGGTCTCTTAAATTTTGAATACAATGAAGTTGCTGAACAACTTGTTTGGACAGCCCTCTGAGCGGGTCAATAGGGTAATCTAAAAAAACATTCATACTCTAATGAACAGGGATTTTTCAGCCCTGAGTAGCAATTGTTCATGAACAACACAGAATTTTGGTTGAAGTACTTAGGTACAGGTGTTCAGTCTAATCTTGTGAAGACAAATAAATGATTTTGATGTCTGTCTGTTTCAGGCTGGACTCAATGGACACATGTACAAGATGCCTGAAATCCCTGAATCCTTCCCTGAGCTCAATGACTTAAAGTGAAGTATCTTTAGATATTTTCATCTGAAAGTTTTGCACTGAGATTGTTGTACTTTTCATATTGTCCTCTTACCTACTGTTTCACTTCTTATTCTGTCTTTCTGCCTCCCTGTGCTGCTCTCCATCCCAGTCTGACCCAGCTATCAAGCATGTCTGAAAATGAGGATCTGTTGCTGGAGTTCTTTGTGAGTTTGCCACAACTCAAACAGGTCACCAACGACAAAGAAGAGCTGGTCAACAGTATTGTGGACATGGCTAGTAAGTTCCTCTTGTGATCTTGCACTGAGGGTTTAATGGTCAGTCATTCAGCTAATCTGAGCTTGACAAAGATTTCTCCTTTTTTGTGTCGCACAGAGAAAAACCTTCAGATGGAGCCCCAGCTGGAAGGAAAAAGACAAGAAATGCTCTACAAGGTTGGTTGATAGATCCATGCTCTCTTGCCCGTCCTTTCTCAACAGACACATTCATGCTTTTGTCTAGCAGCCCCTGACATGTGTTTTGGTTTGTTGACAGTATGAACAGCTGACTCAGATGAAGTCTGCCTTTGAAACAAGAATGCAGAGACAGCATGAACTCAGTGAGGTGGGAGGACACACTCATACTCGTAAACATGCTCGATCCTTTCTCTAAATTCTCAAGGCTTAATATATTTTTGCTTCTCATGCCTGTGTGTCTTACCCTAATTAGAGCTGCAGTCTTAGTACCCTGCAGGCTCGGTTAAAAGTTGCAGCCCACCAGGCTGAGGAAGAGTCGGAGGTGACGGCTGAAAACTTCCTTGAGGGGCGCACAGACATTGATGAATTCCTGACCAGCTTCATGGAGAAAAGAACGGTGAGAGACAACAATGCATTGATGGATATGGTGTCTTATTAGGTCTGGAAGAAAAATGTGTAAAACATCCAAAGAAGAAAATGTCGTAATATTTCCTTTTCATTCCTCAGCTGTGCCACAGCAGAAGGGCCAAAGAGGAAAAGTTGCAACAGTCCATAAACACACATGGGCAGTTTCCTACCAGCCACTAAAATACAAGGTACAATGCATGATAACTAGAGCAGTGAGTAAACAAATCACCAAGGCACACTGACTATCATTTTGGTGTTAACTAAACTTTACTCCATTATTTACTGGAAAAAAACTACATCTTTTCAGCTTCTGCTGTTTCTTCCTACATTTGGTCCTCAGGTTTTTTTTTTTTCCTCAGCCAACTGCTGCCAACTTAAAGAATACAGACGTCTAAGGTGATGAAAAGCACACTGATTCAACAACAGGCACTTGAGAGAAAGCAGAAGACTTGGATGGCAATGATGAGATCTGTGGTTGAGGTTGGATTGTGTGAGAGCAGAATGGAGATGCAACATGACAGACACACAACAAGAGACAAATACTGAAAGAGAGGGGCGGAGTGGGAAGTGACACGTCCAGCTTTTCCAACCACACCACTCTGGAGCGATAACATATGGATAATTTCTTGTACACATGCTGTTTGTCCAGTCTTAACTTCACAGTGACAACAAATGAAGTAGTTTCTTCATTAACTTTATGTTGCATTGATCAGTAAGAGCAAAAGCTTCACCTAATAGTAGTTAATGTGAACACATTTGGAGAAATGAGGTTGTAAGTGTTAACATGACAGTTTGAAAATGTTGAACGTTGGTGTGTTTGTTTTCTTTTATGAGATCATTGTTAGGTCATGTCAAATTATCACTGTAGCATTCGCTCCTATTGGAAAGGGAGAGCAACATATGAACTGGGGGTCACTTGTTTACACCAAAGTAGTTGTTCTTGACGTAGACATGGAGCTCAGTGCTCGTCACTTCAAGTCAGAACCCCACTCCCCATCCCTTAAAAAGGATGAAACAGCATTGCTTGAGAGGCACTTGAGACCTGGTTTCTAAAATGTAAACTCTATATATATAGAAAAGTGGTTCATTCTTAAGTAAGTTGTTTTGGTGTCTCTTTTGAGTAATATCTTAAGCAAAATCTGGGTGTCACTGTGTTTGCACAAACGTTTCCAATGTCATCAAATGAGGCAATCGTCAGATTTTCAAACCTGTATTGGGCCCATATTAAACCTTTTTGGTACAACTTAAAAACCAGAGGAGACAGTCAAATTTAAAAACTGGTTACCTGTCTGTTGTTTTAGATTGCCCTGATTGGTTGGTAGGTGAAATCAGGTTGTTTTCTGGATCCCTTAGAAGACTATTTAAGACATTGACAGGTCCAACAAGGAGAATTCCTGGGCCACACGAGTCCTGTAAAACAAGAACAGTTACTTCACTTTTTAATTCTCTGCCCTTAACATGAATTGAGTAATTTGTGTACATGTAAACATACTGATGATGATGAAAACCATCATGACCTTTTTGACACAATTTGAGCTTGAATATTTGATTGATGAACAGCTTCTGAAGATTTGTGATAGCAGGAGTTTTAGGTTTGATGCTGCAGTAAAACTAATGGACATCAGATACTGTATTTAAATAATGTTGATAGGCTATATTGTAATCAAAGACTCAGCCACCTTGTATTATATGTTGTTATTTAATTTGTTAGAATAATAAAGCATTTAGAATAAACTGTGTCTGCTTTGATTGCTGTAATCTCTTTTGGCACTCTGACAGTAGGACCATTAACGTAAAACTGGATGTATTGTTGAGATTATGATATAGTTCACTTTATTCAGTTTAAGACTGTGCAAGTTTACCCAGCCCACTAGTTTAATAGTCACATAGCAATCAAGCTACTTCAAATGCTTTAATACATACAGTGCATCCTGAAAGTATTCATACCACTTCACTTTTTCCACATTTTATTATGTTACAGCCTTATTCCAAAATGGATTAAATTCCTTTTCCCTCAAAAATTCTACACAAAATACCACATAATGACAGAGCGAAATAAACTTTATTTTGCAAATTTATTAAAAATAAGACACTCAAATGTTGCATATACAGAAGTATTCACACCCTTTACTCAATACTTGGTCGAAGCACCTTTGGCAGAGATTACAGCCTCCAGTCTTTTTGTGTATGATGCAACAAGCTTGGCACACCTGGATTTGGGGAGTTTTTTTCCATTCTTCCTTGCACATCCTCTCAAGCTCAGTGAGGTTGGATGGGCAGCTTTGGTGCACAGCTACTTTCAGGTCTTTCCAAAGATGTTCAATCGGGTTCAAGTCTGGGCACCAGCTGGGCCACTCAAGAACATTCAGAGACTTGTCCTGAAGCCACTCCTTTGTCTTCTTGGCCACGTGCTTAGGGTCATTGTCATGCTAGAAGATGAAGCGTCACCCCAGTTGAAGGTCTCAAGCGCTCTGGAGCAGGTTTTCATCAAGGATTTCGATGTGCTTGGCTGCATTCATTTTTCCCTCGATCCTGACAAGTCTCCCAGTTCCTGCCGCTGAAAAACATCTCCACAGCATGATGCTGCCACCACCATGCTTCACTGTAGGGATGGTATTAGCGAGGTGGTGAGCAGTGCCTGGTTTCCTCAAAACATGACGCTTGGCATTCAGGCCAAAGAGTTTGATCTTCATTTCATCAGACCAGAGAATTTTGTTTCTCCTGGTCTGTGAGTCCTTCAGGTGCCTTCTAGCAAAGTCCAAGCGGGCTGTCATGTGCTTTTTACTGAGGAGTGGCTTCTGTCTGGCCACTCTACCATAAATGCCTGACTAGTGGAGTGCTGCAGAGATGGTGGTCCTTCTGTGGGGTTCTCCCATCTCCTCAGAGGAACGCTGGAGCTCTGTCAGAGTGACCATCGGGTTCTTGGTCACCTCCCTGACCAAGGCCCCTTTCCCCCGCTTGCTCATTTTAGCTGGGTGGCCAGCTCTAGGAAGAGTCCTGGTGGTTCCAAACGTCTTCCATTTCTTAATGATGGAAACCACTGTGCTTCTTGGGATCTTCAATGCAGCAGATATTTTTCTGTAACCTTCCCCAGAGCTGTGCGCCGATACAACCCTGTTTCGGAGGTCTACAGACAATTCTTTCGACTTAATGGCTTGGTTTGTGCTCTGACGTGCTCTGTCAGCTGTGGGATCTTATATAGACAAGTGGGGCTTTCCAAATCATGTCCAATCAGCTGAATTTGCCGCATGTGGACTGCAATCAAGTTGGAGGAACATTTCAAGGCTGATCAGTGGAAACAGGATGCACCTGAGCTCAATTTTGAGTTTTATAGCAAAGGGTGTGAATGACAAAATTGTCAAAAAAAGTTTTTCGCTTTGTCATTATGGGGTCGTTTGTGTAGAATTTTTGAGAGAAAAAATGAATTTAATCTATTTTGGAATAAGGCTGTAACATAACAAAATGTGGAAAAAGTGAAGTGGTATGAATACTTTCCGGATGCACTGTATACACCAAACTTGAGCCAGTGCTGTGTGCTGAAGACTAACAGTGGCTGCAACAACACAACTGCACACAGGGTGTATGAGTAAATCCTCATACTCAACAGGTTTGATTATTGTAAGGCACAATAGAAGCCGAGTGAGACCTCAGCAACAGAAAAAAAGCAAACAGCAGTGGCTTAACTGTGGCATGGCTGATTACTGTGGCTAATCAGTGAAAAACAATCCGATTATTAATTCATTGTTGTAACTGGGCAAAGGTCACAACAAGAAACATTAACCAAGCAGTCTCTTGAAGTGGAAAGATAGACCACTATTTGTTTAGTCTGTCATATTTTTATTAGATTCATTTATTTCTTTCCCTGAAAAGCACTTAGTGGGTTTTTTTTGTCTGTAAAAATTACTATGTTAACAAGTTTGCTTACTTATATAAGGCATATATCACAAAACCCTATAACCATATGACCATTTCTTATTTAGATCCAACATTTAGTCAGAATAGAAATCAAATGAATAAAATTCAAGGAAAAAGGCATTTAAAGAATTACAAAGGAATTTGAAAAAACAGATAAATGAAAATAAAGATTAACATGAGTGGAAATTATATATTTAGACTTATAAAGTCAAATGAATGAAAATTAAATCAATATGTAAATAGCAAGAAAAAAATTTACAAACGCGTTACAAAATCAAAAACTAAATACTGTCAAAAATTAATAATGTGGGAGAAAAAGAAGATACTGTGTAAAAATGCAAATAGACATTTGTTTATATTAATTTTAAAATAAATATTCATTAATTGGACTCACAAAGTGTAATTGGTAAATATATTTACCTACCTTCTTGCTCAACACATTGAAAAGGCATATGATATGCTATGGAATTAGGGATTATTAATTCAATTAGCAAAGTTGAGGATTAAAGGCCAAATGTATAGTTGGATTAAGGACTTTTTAGATGGAAGAAAGATTCAGGTCAGAATAGGTAAACATTGTTCAAGAAATTTTGATATAGAAAATGGAACACCCCAAGGGAGCATCATGAGTCCTATGCTATTTTCAATTATGATTAATGATGTTTTTAGTAGCCTAGAAAAAGGAATGGGTTGTTCACTTTTTGCAGACAATGGAGCGCTGTGGAAAAGAGGGAGAAATATAGAATTTATTGTTAAAAAGATGCAAGAAACTATTGATAAGATTCAAGAATAGGCATATAAGTGGGGGTTTAAATTTTCAGTAGACAAAACAAAAACAGTGTTCTTCACACGTCAAAGAATTAGAAGGAATATAACTTTAAAAATGTATGGTCATGAGCTAGAAAGTGTCAAAAATATTAAACAAATGCAAAAAAGTGCTAAATATAATGAGGTGTCTGGTTGAAAGGGAATGGGGAGCAGAAAGAGTGGCATTAAAAAACATTTACATTGGATTAATAAGGTCAGTATTAGATTATGGAAGTGTGATATGTGATAGGTCAGCAGCAGATACAGCACTGGCAAAACTAGATAGGATCCAATATCAAGCATTAAAGTTATGCACAGGAGCCATCAGGACAACCCCAACAGCAGCATTACAAGTAGAAATGGGAAAGATGCCCTTAGAATTGAGGAGAACACAGTTGGCTATTAATTATTGGATATATTTAAAAGGAAATAAGGAGAATCACCCAACTCAAGAATACTAAAACTGTGCTGGGAAAAGGAGAAAAGAAAGATAAAAAGTTTAGGATGGACAGTTGAGCTAGAAACAAAAGAACTAGAAATAAATGAAATAAACATCAGCCCAACTGTACCACTACCAACAATTCAGCCGTGGCTTCTACCAGATCCTGTGGTAGATCTAACACTACTGGAGAAGAAAACCAAAAATAAAGAAATCATAGGACAGCCACAGATCATACAAGACTACATTGAAAGGAAATACCATAGTTATATACAGATTTATACAGATGCATTAAAAAACCTAGCAAACAATGCAGGTGTTTCAGTAATTATCCCAAAATTTAAGGTCAAAATTTTAAAGCGCATTGAGGACGGACTATCGGTATATAAAGGAGAAATGTTAGCAATTCTGGTAGCACTGCAGTGGATAGAAGATGTGAGACCACTCAGATCAGTTATGGGTTCAGACTCAAATTCAGCAATAATCAGCTTGGATCACAACCATTCAGACAGCAGACAAGGTTTGATAGTAGAAATTAAACAAACATTGTTTAGGATTCAAATGTTAGGGTTAGATGTAGTATTAGTATGGATACCAGCTCATATAGGAGTAGTTGGAAATGAAATGGCAGATAAATGCGCTAAGAGAGCAACAGAAAAGCAGCAAATGGATATTATAGTGCCATTTAGAAAAACAGAAGTAAAGAACATAGTTAAACATAAGATCAAACAAAAATGGCAGGAGCAATGGGATAAGGAGAAAACGGGAAGATGGTTTTATGGAATACAAAGACAAGTAGGGACAATGAGAAAAACTACCAGAACTTGTGAAGAAGAAACCATAATATCTAGAATAAGATTTGGACATACAAGACTGAACAGTACATTACATAAAATAGGAAAACACAACAATGGAACATGCGATCAGTGCAATAGTCAAGAAGCATTAGAACACGTTAAGATGCAGTGCCCAAAATATGAGGCTGAAAGGAGGAACCTTATAAGGAATTTAAGTAGAATAAAGATGAGATACAATCTAAAGGATTTGATAGAGGAATTCTGGGGAAGAGTCATATCGATTAATAATCGGGTTTCTAAGGAAGACAGAGTAAATAGAAAGAATTTAATTTAATTCGTTTTATTATTATTATTATTATTATTATTATTATTATTATTATTATTATTATTATTATTATTATATCCAGATCCACACTCCAGATCCACACTCCAGACCAATTGGTGGCGGTAATGCACTATAACGTTGTTTGCCAACCGCCAAAAAAAAAAAAAAGGACTCAAGAAGAAGAAGAAGAAGAAGAAGAAGAAGAAGAAGAGGAAGGAGGAAACCTCAAACAGTTGGCGCCATTTCCGGAGAGTCCAAGCTAGGTTTCGTGTAAGTAGCTCGTTGTTATTGTTGTTGTTAAGTTTGTTTTATTGTCCTCCTAATCTGTATCCCTGTTAAACCAAGATGGCGAGGTCAACTGTTTAACGGCAAAACCTCTGCTTCGGATCACATGGTTTGTCAATGGAAGTTAAGGATGTTAAAAAATTTAAGTGTTTGAACTTACGTTAACTCTCATCAAATCATTAAGATTTTAAAAATAACAATTACAGCGATCTAACCCTGCTTTTTCAATAAACCTTGTCAATACATTTACCTTGAACTTTACCCCAACTTAACTAAACGCCTATGTTCTGTTGATTGGTAACAGTGAAATTAAATGACGTGTTAATGCAGGGGAGACTGGGGTAAGTTGACTCAAGGGGTAAGTTGAGTCACCCCCCTGTTGCTTGGAAACGGTACAAGAAATTGATCATGTGACCAAATATATAGGAGATGGGCATCAATTCATGGAGTCTGTGAAGATTAGATGCACATGGGTGAAGGGGTCAGACATTTATTTCCAAAAATTACATTGTTCACTTTTTTACTAAAATTTCATTTTTCACGGAATTTAGTCTGTCATAAGTTTGATTAGAATTATGCTCAGACCAAAATAGATTATTTTAAATTTGTTTTATCATCAATTGTGGTATCTATGAGCTACAACATGAGGTCAAAAACCTAGTATAAAAGTCCACCATTTTAGCTTAGAAGACTTACAAAGTCATAAGAGTAGTTCAGGGGGTAAGTAGAGCCATGTGGCCAGGGGTAAGTTAAGCCAGCGGCTCAACAGAAAAAGTAAAGGAGTCTGATGCGAGGATCAGAGTTTCAGTTCAGATCATAGACTGTATATAGAATGGACAGAGTCTGCCTCCTCGCTGGGTGAAGCCACTCCGAGAACAGCACCCTCTGATGGTGGGCTGCAGTACAGGTCATAAATCCCGCCTCCGCCAGCAAAGCTTATGGGACTGTGGACAAACTTTAGAAAATTATTACACAGAACATAATTTTTTCTCCCCCCTGGTTGTGATGTTGACATGTAGTTATTGTAAGACTGGTTTGTGCCCAAGTCCTTTTTTTTCTGTACAGCTCCGTTTTTAAAAGTTATTAGGGGTTCATGTTTTCTTTGATTGACACCTGGTACAGCCTATGGGCGTTCAGGAATTGCGTAGCTCACCCGGGGGGATACGCTGTTTGAGCCGAGCGTCATCACAGGGACTCTCAGCGACTGCGCAGCCGAATGTGCGCATCGTACTGCGCAGCTCTGGTTTCGAGGAAGTGGAGAAAAACCCGGAATGACCGAGAGCTTTTTGGCTTCAAATCCGTGTACAGGCGGAAGGCGGAACCAAGTTGTCCATCTTATATACAGTCTATGGGTGGCACCATCCTGACCATGCACCATGACGTACATGTATTTTGTAAATTCAACTGACTCACTTTCTTTTACAGGCAACATACTTTAAGTTAAGAGTTCCAAAAAGAATGTGACCATTATCATGTCAAAGCATTCATTAATTAAAACTATATACATACACAAATCAGCTGGCAACTTTAAATTGAAGGTACACTTCATCCACACATCTCACAACCAGACACAGAACATTTCAGCCTCCTCTTTTTCATTCTGTAGAACCTCCTCATGCACTCCTTGCAGTCCAAGGCCTCCTGGTCTGGTCCATCCATGGCCACCTTACAACAGACATCCAAGTGCCTCTCCTTCGGTCTGTTCCACAGAGGTGTCTTCACCTTAAACAAAAAAATTAATTATGCATTAAGTTTTTTTGTATTTATTCTGATACAGACATGAAGAGTGATAGTGTTTTCAATCATATATTACAATTTATAGTGCAGAGAAGAGCCTCTCAGTCTCCACATCTGCAGTCTGGACAGGGGCTGTGAGGGCGATAGCAGCTGCAAGGCTGAGGGTGGGATACAGCTCAGCGGATTCTGCAGATACAAGCCACAGAAGAACCTCCTCCAGGGATTTGGTCTGAATAAAAGCAGTGAAAACAAAGATGAATGAAATTATTCAGTAAAACCAGACTGTTGTGGTGGTGATACAGTTAATGTAACTTAATATAGTACCTTCAGATCAGGACTCCCCACTCTCAGTCTGTATGAGCTCCACTCAGACAGCAGGTTGCTTTTTAAAGTAGTGGCTGATTTTGCCTGCCATATCTGCAACGCTAACAATCAAAAACGTTACTCTGACACAGAGGAAACTTTTTTTTTAAATAATCACTACATGCTTGGATGCAAAAAAGACAAGCAGTATTTACCTGTTTGTACCATCCGCCAGGGAAAATCAGGACGCCTAGAGCACCAACTAGCAGGAAAAAACTAGAAAAAACACGATTCGATCTGTTTCTTCTTTGGTAGATGCTTCAGGTCTTTCCGGTGCACTGCTGCAGATATAGCACCTCTATAGCGGCGCAACGCTACAACTGCAGTTAAAATAAGTAGCTGCCGCAGAGGGACATCAATCGCTCAATCAAGCTGGAGCTTTACGCTGTGTGGAGCGATATCAAACGCTCTGGCTGGGGGCGGCACAAAATTAGGTGGAGGCAGCTGCCACGCAATTTTGAACCCAGGAAAAACCCTGTCATGTTAAGATGACTTTTTACAAAACAGCTTTTTTGCAGTTATATGCTATAATAATAAAAATAATTATTGTACTAGTTGAATAGTGTGTAATAGATAAAAATACACATGAATGTGAAGAAGTGACTGTAGGGATACGGCTCAACTCACCCCGCTCCTATGGTCAACTTACCCCATACACAGGTTTTTTTTCTTGGCATGCTATATTATCAAGACAGTTCTATTTACACTCATTATATTGGTTTGCAGGGATGTGCAACATCTTGAAATATATGCAGATACACTAGTTAGAGACAAAACTATGACTGCCTTGATGTAGTGATCCGAAATATGAAAAAGGGCTCGTCTTACCCCGCTCTGCACCTACAACAATTTTTTTTAAATCTCGTCGTTCTCATCTGTTCATCTTCATGTGTAATTGTGATTGTGGGGTATGGCCGTGTTATAATCATAGACTGTATCAATGCTTGTAATTCAGTCATCACTTGCTAAAATGAGGCTTTATGAACACGTGTGTCCTGTGTTACTGTGTTGCTGCAGAGTCATTGCACAAGACATGAACGACAGTCATCGCAGGTTTCTTCAGACCATGATGTACAACGCCATAGTTGATGAAAAAGGCGCACGGAGCCTCTATCGACATTGTTGTGAAATTCACAACAGTAAGTCTTATCTTATTTAAAAGGATTGGTTAAGATATTCTCCAATGTGTCAGTAACATTTTAACTTAACAAGACTCTTTGCTTCTTTTGCCTCTTTTAAGACGATCTCCCAGCTCCCAAAGTATTTGACCATGTTACTACTTTCTCAGGAAAATTGGGGGAAATTGCAAATATGAGAGTTTTACATTCATTGTTGATAGTCACACACTTGTCCTGTGTTTTCCTTTTTCATAGCACAGCACACTCCCGGCCATCTGGATAAATTTATTGATACCATCAACTCACAGCTGCAGCCCCTGTTCATGCAGATCAGAAAAGGGACTTCTGAAGACACTGGTGACCAGTTCTACGCCTTGGTTAGTGGTTGTACTCAGGGCATGCAATGTTAGGCCTGTGTTTTTTTGTTTGTGAGTGTTTTAAGGATTTTAGTCTTCAAATGGAGGTAGCTTTTATTTACCTACACAAAGACCTTTTTTCTCAAGGAAAATAAAATGATTAAACACATATTTTTACGGTGTGTGCAAGAAGAAAAAAAAATGTGGTCATCATCAATCTGTAATTGTTGTCCATTTTAATCAGATCTAATCATAGCTTTAAAGAGGACATGAAACACACCACATTGGCAGCCTCAGGTGGTAAAAACATCAATAAGGAGAGAGTCTGAAATATTTTTTTGTGTAAAAAAAAAATCAGCTGTTTACTAGGAAAACCGCTGTCAAGAGTGTATACGACATGCGCACAGCGCCATCTTGAGTTTAAGACAGTTGTGACGTCAGCGGTTGTGCAGGAACAGAGCGGTGAAATTGTGATTGGTGTACGTGAAAATATAAAACGTCCTAAACTCTGTCCACCACTCATCCGAGCAGAGACATAACTGAATAAACCTTCAGGAAAAATGTCTTACCTTCACTCTGGAGTCTTAAACTGTCCCATTATCAGTCATCCAGCTCCAACAGTTTAATAATCCACCGATATTATTCACATCCCATTTCTCGCGGTCAGCGCTTTTCATCCATTCACATTGTGTGGAAAAAAAAGTTTCAGCTAGCTTTAACTTCAGGTGTCCTGATAGAGACCGACTGGAGGAGTATCTCTGGACCTGGTACCGAGTCCAGACCACAGGTCCAGACAGGCAGTGACTGACTCATTGCATCGGAACCGAGACGCGGTCCATGTCCCGGTGGAAGAGGACCAGGAAATAAACGACTGAGCCGAACGACCAGAGACAGCGCTAAAAACTTTTTTCCGAGAATGGATGAGACGCCGACCGCGAGGTGGTAAACGGGATTCAAAGAGGATGTAAACAGGAATAACACTGGTTGGAGCTGGATGACTGATAATGCTGACTAGTTTAGACACCGGAGTGAAGGTAAGACACTTTTTCCTCCGTTATTTTATATCAGATCTCCGTTAAACAGTGGAGACTCTGGTGATGAAGTTTATTACACTTAACACCGATGTTTATATCTGATAGCTGCTGCCGCTGCGTGCATGTGTGAGCTGCGAAGAATCACCGGCTGTTTCAGCAGCAAATGATGAAAATGCAATGTTTTTTTTTAATTTCCGTTGTAAAACTGATTGGAGCAGCCCAAAATACCCCTCCTATGGTGAGTTTACTTGTCTTTGGCTCTCGATTCGCCATTTCAGCCATCCTAATCTACTCTCATTCAATCAATCTCAATTCAGTCAATACGCGGGCTACACAACCCATTACGTCACGCGAAGTGGCACTGCTTTACGGTTCCCCGCAGTGTCGCTAAAGTGGAACTTCTGTGACAGTTTTCTACAAATGTATTACATTTTGAGAGTCATGAATACAGTGATTTGTGAAGTCGAGAGGCATTCTTAAAAAAAATGATAACTTGGGTCAGTGTTTCATGTCCTCTTTAAAAGTAGTATCTAAATGGCAAGTGACAGGTTTGTGTCATAAGATATTAGACACGCAATGATGAATTAATAGTTGAACCTGTGATGTGAATTGAAGATCTGTTAAAAATACATTACGCTCTGAAGTAGAATTATTTATTAAGATTCACTTTATACCTGTCCAGGTAAACATGGCCGTGACTGATGTCACCAGGATGTCTTCAGGTTATGCTGACAATGAACTGGAGCTGTTTGTTAAAACGGTGAGTCTGTGTCACATAAGGAAACAGGGCTCAAGCAGAAATGCCTGCTTGTAACATCACTATGATGCCCTGGTTAAGATAAGATATTCCTTTATTTGTCCCACAGGGGGAAATTCCAAATTTACAGCAGTGATAAATAAAAAAAAAAGAAATTAAAGGATGAAGAAACTTAGAAGTTAAAAAAGATTTACAGTCATGGAAAAAAATATTAGACCAACCTTGTTTTCTTCAATTTCTTGTTCATTTAGATGCCTGGTACAACTAAAAGTGCATTTTTTGGACAAATAATAGCAACAAAAATAGCTCTTAAGAGTTTAATTTAAGAGCTGATATCGAGCCATTTCCTATGGTTTTCTTGATAATAATCAGAATCACTTGAGTTCTTAATCAATAGCTGTGGCATCGTTCTGCCAAAAACAAAGCTTTTAGGCATTCCATGTGTTCTCGTCTGTCTGTTGGTCACATGATACACACGAGTTTGTACTTGATTGGATAACCATTGTTTTTGATGACTGCAGCCATGTGTCTTGGCATGCTCCCCACCAGCTTCTGGTTCTGCTGTCACAGCAGCCCATTCCTGTTGCAAAATTTTTACCAAATCGGCTTTGTTTGGTTTGGTTCTCCATTTTGAGTTCAATGATTTTCCACAGGTTTTCAACTGGTTTTAGATCTGGTGATTGAGCAGGCCAAGGCATGGTTCGAATGCTTTGGTTCTTCATGCTGGCTTTAACTAACCTTGCTGTGTGGCAAGAGGCATTGTCTTGTTGGAAAATCCAGTCATTCGAACAAGGAAAGAGTTTATCAGCTGATTGAAGAAGACTGTTTTCAAGAATAGCCCTGTACATGGCCTGGTTCATTTGCCTTTCACACAACTGCATTTGCCCTGTTCCACCCATACTGAAACAACCCCACATCATCAATGATCCACCCCCCGTACTTTACTGCAGGGGCAAGACAGGCTGGTTTGTAGGCTTCTCTAGTCCTCCTGCTAACCAGTAAGTTGGCTGGAGTGGGCATCAACTCAATATTGGATTCATCACTGAAGAGAACCTTAGCCCAATCATCAACAGTCCAATCCTTGGGATCCCTAGCAAAGAGTAACCGAGACTTCCTCTGCCTTTTGTTGATGAAATGCTTCTTCAGTGCCACATTTCAGAGTCACATTTCTTGACAGCGCCCAGCCCACTCCTTTTTAAGGTCCCTGGAGGTCTGACGACGGTTCCTAACACAGGAATGGATGGTCCTCTGTTTGATTCGTTACAGTTGAACAATTGGAGATATTTATAAGTATGACTATATACACACAGAATATGCATTCGTGTGTACAGACTATACATGTGCACAGCATATACCGTGATATATATGGTTACGTCCTGTTGTACTGTTTGTTAAATTGATCAGCAACATTGAAGAACATGCCTTGAGGAGAGACAAACCTTAACTCCTCTAATAGAAGTTAGAATGAAATACACTGAAGGCAACAAAAACCTATGAATCAGCTTCTTATGAACTGTTGTTTTAGACAGGTTGGTCATGACTGACTCAGTGTTCTAATTTAGATGGACTTGATCGTCGGCTCTGAGAATGGCACAGCATCCTCTACTGACATTTTAAACAGTGCTGACACCCTGACCACTAAAAAGCTGAAAAAGAGTGAGACACAACATCTCCTGAGCAGACTGGTGCAGGACAAATGGTTAAATGAGGTAAGAGAGAATTTTTGAAATGGGTGTAAACTTATCGACACAGCTAATTTTAGAGGGGAATTGACACTGTTTGATGAGGGTGTTTCAGCTTTCCTTTAGTGTGGAATCAGTCATCTGGTTGAACTGCGAGCAGTAACACAAAGGAGAACAAGTCCCCAGATCTCCAATAGCTCCTTCAAAACCATTAATGCCTATTTATTATCATCATTATTATTATTTTATGTAGGTTATTTCTTTCAATACATTTAAAATCTCACATTACTAGTTTTACTTACAAAGGATCTTTTCAGTTTGTTTTTTAACCTCTTGGCTTTGATGATTTATTTAAGTGAATAATTGATTTCTGTTTACTGATGTAGAAAGGAGGTGAATACACTTTGTCAACCAGATGCATAATAGAGATGGAGCCCTACATCAGCACAATGTATCAGGACCAGGTCAAAGTTTGCCAAATCTGTCACAGCATCGCTATTCAGGTGAATGTTTCCTTTCACTACCATGAATAAAGCAAACCAACTGTAGTAAGTTGTGCTGTTGAAATGCCTTCACTCATTAATAATGCATGTCTTTTCAAAACTTTTGTCACAGCAGTGCAATTCTACAGACACAACTATTGACAAGAAAATCATCTTTAGTCAGCCATTCTAGATGTGTTATTACTGGGTCCTAACCCTAAAATTCCTTCAATATAGAACTTGAATTAAATATCTGAACTGTTATGACTTATTTAGGGATAAGCTGCAGTAATGATGAGTTTCATCTTATTAACAAATATCTGTTTTTTCCAGGGCCAAATTTGTGAGAATCCCATGTGTGGAATAAAAATACACAACCCATGTGTGGCCAGATACTTCAAAGGAAGACCAGAGCCGCAATGTCCAGCCTGTAATGACTTTTGGCCACATGAAATCCCTGGTATTTAATTTTTATGTACCTATTTTTCTAAACCTTCAAATGTATCAGACCTTAAAGTTTCAGCTTTTTAAAGTGACAAATGAAATTATGTTATGTAATTCACATATTCTTTATTTTGTGTTGTCTTTACAGAAATCTAGGTCCAAACGATGAAAAATCCAGCTGCAAAAGTTCTTTTGAGTGTAAATATGTTTACTGTGTTGAGCAAAACTCTGTCTTTGGGCAGACTGTTGATATAAATTATTCGTGAAATCACATTTTTTTTTCACCCAAACAAAAAAGACTGTCAGAAATAAAATTCTCATTTTGTCCTCAATAAACCTGCAGGATTGTTTCCTTTTGTCAAATGCACTTGTTCTTTCTAAAATCAAAAGAGATTAAATAAATGTAACACTTCAGCATGTTTAAGCCACATTAATTTTCCACAGTCATCCTTACATCAAATAAAAGAAAATCTAAAAAACAGATTATTTTGTGGTTGTTTTATCCAACCAGAGGAGTCAAATCCTATAGTTGGCTTTTAAATACTCAGAACTGTATACAATGTGGACAGTAGCTATTTGTTAGCTATTTATCACTGAAAAGCAACACCCTAAAGTTGCCTTTAAACTGTATGTTTAAAAGGAATGACTGACAATATGAGAAATGCATGATTTTGATTTGATTTGATTTGATTTGACTGTCCTAAACACGTAATAGGAACATAATCCAGGAGCAAACATGTTGGAGGTTAAACCTGCGGTGAATTTAGAACATGCGACCTAATCTTTCTGTGCCATGTTGTTTTTCAAAGAGATTGCCACATACTCAAATGAAATTTATGGCATGACTTGAACTAAAATCAGTTTGATCAGTCAGACATTTTTGCTCAAAACAAAGAGTTAAGACAAAAAAATGTTGAAGTAACAGAGAAATCAACATCTCTGAAGCTAAAAATAAAACATTTTTTGTCAATCAACTGTCCTTAACTCCAAACTCTCCCCAAATTTATATAGAACATGACTAAGGGAAAGAGACAAAGAAATGAAAAATATATAAACATTTTTAGTGAAATCAAACATCATGCCCTGTATTGCATTTTTATACACTCTACCTTTAACCACTAGATAATCATGAAAATGTGTTTGTTGACTCAAAGAATATTTGCCAGAGAGGAGTACTGTTCTAGTATCTTGAGAGTGACAATGAACTTGATAGCTTTTCTGAACCATGGGTAGAATAAAGCATATATGAGAGGGTTCAAACAAGAATTAAAATAAACCAGCCAAGACACAATGGCCCAAGAAGAGGCACTGTTTGATATGTCTTGTCCTGCAAGAGAGGGGTAGTAATATGGACAGAAACTCATCAAAAACACCAGTATGACCACACCCAGAGTCCTGGCTGCCTTTCTCTCTGATGTCTTTGCTCTGACTGTAACCTTACTGGCAGCTGTCACTGTAACATGAGACTGCATGGCACGAGCTTGAGACACTGCTACGATAAAAATTCTCATGTACAGGATCACAATGACTAAGCAAGGGCCGACAAAGGTAAACACGAGGTCCACAGTTCCAGAGACATAGTTAATCACCACCAAACACTCTCCATAGCAGGAGTTATGTCTGTCGGGCTGTCTGAGGTGGTCTTTTAAAATCAGTCCATTGTAGAGCAATGAGCAGGCCCAACACAGACACACAGATAGCTCAACCCGGCTGCGGGTTATTTGGTTAGGGTACTGCAGAGGATAACAAATAGCTACATAGCGATCGATTGATATGAGCACCATGTTCCCCACAGAGGCAGAGGTGAGGGTGAAGCCGATAATGTAAGACAGAGCACATATGAAATCTCCCAGCAGCCAGCAAGTTTCTACGAACCGCACAGTTTCCATCGGCATCACCAGCAAACCCACAAGGAGGTCTGAGATGGCCAGTGAGAGCAGAAGTAGGTTCGTGGGGGTGTGAAGCTGCCTAAAATGGGAGATAGAGACGATAACAAGCAGGTTCAGAACAACAGTAAAAACAGCAACGGATGAGAGCAGAGCATAGAGGAGGGAAGACTCAGTGTGAGGACGCATTACACCTCTGCAAGACAAGTTCAGGAGCTGAGGGTAGCAGAGCTCAGCTCCCAGCAGGTTGTCCATTCTCCTGTCCTGAGAGGGGGCCATGAGCTCCTGCTGAGCTTAATCAGCTCTCTGAGCGTACTGGGCCTTTTTACAGTTGACTTATCTCTGACAGCACTCCTTAACTCCCTAGTCATCCTCTTCATCACTGCCTGCTTTGGGCCAATAGGACTCAGTAGTTTCCTTTCCTCAATTCCGTCATCTTCTTCATCACCTCTCCCTAGATTATTCTGCCCTCCCTCTTTCTGTCTAATGCAACTGTTGGATGATGCAACATGTTTGTTTCAAGCAACTGTTGGGAAACTTTTCTCAATGCTGTTAAACTTAAATCATCTTGTTTACTTAAGTTGTGAGTGAACTGCACTGATATGCACAGTAAAATTAGGGAAAATCTTTAAGACTAGAATTCCAGGAAATCAAAAATCTGTTGACCAGAACAGCAGGTACAATAACTTGGATTCCCCGGAGAAGAGGAAGAGGAAGAAGAGGGTCATGTAAAAACATCAGAGCACTACCAAAAAGTTTTACTGTCACTGCAGAATTGAAATCAAATGTGGCCAACCAAGCTACTGGCATTGTCATGTTGGCAACTTTAGTTTCAAGAAATGTCAAGAAAAAGTTTATACTTTTCATATTCAGACAGTGTCACTGCTACAGAATAAACAGCTCTCCAGTGTCAGTGAACACTGCCAGACTCTTGACTATTGGAGGCAGTTATCCATTTTACCTGGAATGACAAGACTCTTTTTTTTTTATTTCAGACTTAGCAATTAGTCATTTTCAAAATCCTCTGCACTTAAATAACTTGTCAGTCTTGCAGCAACCACTATTACAACATCTGGAGTTGTACTGACCTGACTTCAAATGGCTTAGGGCCTAAGTATTACTCCAGAGCATCCCATGACTCTTTTGGGCTTCATGTGAGCTGCAATGGACAGGAGACCCAGTTGGCCACTGTTTCCTAAGATTTAGCGGATTTAGGCCACTCATTGGTCCACATCAGGTTTATTGCAATTTTTCAGCACATCTGTGACGATAACCACAGTGTATCAAAGTGTATGTAGGCCTAACTCCGGATTGAATATTCACAGAATTTTTAGGATGTGAAAACCTCAGATAGACAAGTAATTTTGAATAAAAGGTTCTTTTACTTTTTTGTTCAAACTTTCAAAGTAAATAACTCATCTGATCACTTAAATAAATCATCTGTTCTGCAGCAGCAGCAGGACAGGGACAGGACACAGAGACATGTCCGGGTTGAACTGCACAAGAAAGTAGAGGAAGGGGAAGAGAGAAAAAGGGGGGGGGGGGGGGGGGGGGCAAATTAAATATCTTGTTAACTTCATCATGTGTAACTATTTACTGGATATTTAATTTAATGTGGTTTAAGCTGTTTTAAGAATTGTTAAGAAGAAGTTGATCTTTCAATAAAGCTGTTGATCAATGTTCAGACACTCAATAACACTTTAAAGTTTGAGGTTGTAATAAATAAATGTGGTTGCTGAAACAAGAGGCAAAAATACATCCTATAATTTCCAGCTGTATTGGCGCAATTTGCCCCAAGGATAGGATTTTAGACATTCCCTGCAGCTCCTCGTAGGACAACATTTTTTGCTGATTTTGATAGAAAATGATTTGTCTTTATTCAACTTATTGTTAAATATGTAATGTTTCTTTGCAAATTTTTTTGCATTTGTTTCAACCTTAGGTCAGTAAATCACAACACATTCCTGTTCTTACCACAGCTGAGGTCATAGCTCACATCAGTGGAGGGGGTATGGTTGCATCATGTGTTGTTGTTGAAGTGTATTCATTAACACCTTTGAATGAAACCCACCTGTGGTTTAATGTGTTATCACCATTGCTAACATGTCTCTCTGGTACACAACACAGATACCAACCATCATGTTTGTTTTATTCTGTAACTAATGTGTTCTCTGGGGTGCTGTTGAATTGAAGTTTGGGTGTTTGCAGGATGTAAAAAGAACAGGTAAATATGATATGGGTGTCTAAAATAACGTGATGCATGAAGTTTAACTAAAGCTGTCTGTGTTAATGTGTTAAGGTCTGATATTAACAAGCTTTTTTACAGGTGCAGCCACCAGACTGATACTGACAGGCAATCATGTCACAAAAACAGCACCGCTTTGTTCAAGAGTGTGCAAATTGTTAGCTCCAGGGTTTGCTGAATGGGTGCAGGCCAGTCAATATTACGAAGACTTGGTCCTGAGCTTAATTTGTTGTGGTATGCCTTATTGTCACAGGAAGCATACAGGATCTGTACTGGGGCTATGCAATAAAGCCATAGTTAAATCAATAGTATTTTTGGTTTTGTAAGATTTACAAAAATTCATTGGTTGTTAAAATTAAGCGTTCAGCCCATAAGGCGCAACCCTTGTATGAAACATAGGAAGCAACTAAACATTGCAACTCCTAAAGAGGTGTATATTTTGTCCCATTAACTGATGATTATTGGATGTCAGTGAGTCATCAAAATGATTTCAAAATAGCTTTTTACCATATACTCCAGCATTTATCACAACGTGCATCACAATGTGGAACATTATCATGTGAGGATAAAATAAAATAATATATTTAACAGAAAAAGCACTTTAAGTAGTCTCCTGTCTGAGTCAGACCATACAGGTGTAGAAGTGCAGCATTTATTTAAATAATAAATCATAAAAGTCAAGATCATCAAGTACATTTCATTGCATTTAGTTGACTCTCAAATCAAGATACTATAAAACTGCTCTTTGTTGTAGATATACATAGAATTTAAAACATGGAGTTAAAATTGTGATCCATCAGCTATTAAAATTATGCAATTACTGGCAATTTAAAAAAATAATTGTCAGGCATCCCTATTTAACTCACAATTTGATTACTGTTTAAAACACGTGAATTAGTTAGCATGTTAGACCACATCTCAAGAAAACAATGGATATGAACTCAATAACCATAGAGAGGTAACTTTGTACATCTATAATTTAGGACAGGTGCATTGGAGAGCAAGGGATCCAGCAATTCATTCAAAGGGAAACACTGTCCAACTTGCAGAGAAAGGAACAATTTTATTTGCAATGTTTCAGTACTAGACCTTCATCGGGTTTGCCTGATGAAGTTCTAGTTGCAAATAAAATAGTTCCTGTCTCTGCAAGTTGGACGGTGTGCAGGTGTTTCCCTTTGAATGAACTTAATAACCAAAATGAGTTATTTGGATGCCTTTATGCTTGGGCCTGTAGACAGAGACTTGCAATAGTTTAATTAATATCTCACCAGTGACCTTTATTATTGTATTTGTAATCAAACTATATTCTTCCTTTTTTCAAGTTTACAGTACTTTAGTGAAGATCAAGGAGTTGCTTGTTGTGATAACTAATGCTGGTGATCCATCAGTGCCTCAGCAAGAGTCAGCTATAGACTCAGGAGACGAACTCACCTCTCTGTTGTTGTCTAACCTTTTAATTGTGTCAGTCAGACACTAGATGGTGCTGTTGGTCAGTGTGATTAATGTGAATCACCTCCCGAGCTTTGACAACTTCTTGCATTTTGTCTCTCAAAATCTTACTTAGAGGAAGACCAAACTGAAATCATCAGGAGCATCAAAACACATTCCCACTCTTTGTTCATACTGGTTCTTCCCTTTAAAGAGAGTTTATCATTATATTTGTTTGTTTCTTTGTTTTATTGCAACAAACAGCTTCCTTATATGGTCTAGTTGTGTCTCACTCATATACTTTGACAATTTATCTTTCAAAGTGCGCTGTCTTTGTACGTTTGAAGAATTAAGTCAGGAACTTCATATCAAATCATGACATGAGCAACAAAGTGAACAGCAGAAAAAACAAGGGAAGGAAATCAATTACAATCTTATATATCACCAGATGAAAATCAAGATGCTAAAACTGCACATCAAAAATATCAGCACTATACAAACCAAAAAGGAGGGTCTGATAGAATTTTTTTTTATTATTTAGTATTGTTTTATAGAAAAACAAAGAAACAAATTGTGGATGACAAAGGATTCAAAGTTTTAGGAGGTGAAAGAGGAAGGTTGCGTACAAGATGAGTTTCCTATCAGGGAGTAAAGACACAGTTTGTGAAGGATTATCTTTAACCTGATTCTGGAGCAGATCAATGCGCTTCAGTTTTCTATCTGTCTCTATATAAGGCTGACAATTTTGTGCTGCTGGTTTCCTTCATTCCTGTCTAATTGACTAGCCTGAGCAATGTGGTTTTGCATGAATCAAGTGTTTGATTTGCTCACTTTTTCTTTTCAGTCTTCAAGCAAGATCTATTGCAGGATAGTTTCTAGAGCCATACACATTAAGCATTTTAGTGACGCTGACATAACAATCAACAAGTCAGCTCTCTCAAGATCAAAATGTTGACTTATTTGTTTCTAAAGTGAAGTGATTCTTGATATCTGATGTGTGTGAAAAAAGCAAACTAATGTGTCCAAAAATCAATAAAATACATTACACATTATATTTCACATTATATACGATATTATACATTACAAATACAATGCACATTTTAAATATGTATATTACAACTAATTTGGCAAAAGAACCCCCTTGTATGAAAATCTACTGGAATGTTACTTATAAAATACATAAATATTGTAGTTTTATTTTTCTTACACCTGTGGCACCAGGGATGTCATAGCAAACACATATTTGTGTACACAAACACACATACTCTCACATGCATGGGTCCCCTCTCGCTTTTCTTTACACTCCCTCATTGATTCTCATTTTAATTATGTTGACCCAGACTCCGTCTTTCTTCTTTTCTGACAACAAAACCCATGCAGGCCGGCAGTCTGCCTCTCACACTGTGAGGATGACACCTCCGTCTCCAAACAGAGGAACCCATCCAGGATCCACTTTGATGTCACTCCCCCGCAAAGGAAAGGTCAAAATAATAAATGTAGGCCCAATTGATGGGTTGGCAGGGGGGCGTTGGGGGTTTCAGAGCTGATTTTTGGACGAGTGCTCCCCTAAAGACATAATGAATTCATACAGTCAGGCTTAGCCAAAGAGGAAAACAGCATGGGTCCTCTTCCCATAAAAAGGTTGATCTAAATGTGCAGACGAGCCTGGCTCCTTCTTCCCACTCGCTCACCAGCACAACACCCCCTCTCTCTTCTTCTCACTCTCATACTCACACACATTCATGAATAAATACTCATACATTTCTGTTTTTCACCTCTACCTCTGCATATGCATCACCTTCCCCTCCTCCTCACCTTTATGGAGAGTGGTGAACCACATCATTACAGATCAGAAATCTGCTTAGCTTACTTTTTTTCACAGTGGGACACTTGATTTGAGAGCCAACCACTGAGACAAACACAAATGTTTGAATAAGCCATTTAACACTCCTCAGGTCAGACCGGATATCTGCTGGTAGTCTTGTACAGCTAAATTATGCTTTTTTTTTTTAGCCTGACCTTTGATTTTCTCTCTATCATTACAAACTCATGTTCTCAGGAGAACATAACTCAAAGTTGTGGTACAGATCTGAACTTCATAAAAATGCTTAAAAAACTGCAAAAAATAATACACTGCTCAAAATGTCAAGAAAATGATCATTGCAATTATAGCTTTCATCGCTGATTTTTTTAAAATTATTTTTTATTTTTTATTTTATTTTATTTATTTATTTATTTATTTATTTATTTTTTTTTTTTTTTTGGGGGGGGGGGGGGGTTCACTCATCTAACATGTCAGTGCAGCCAGTAGGCTAGTGGAGGTATTGAGATCATTTCTCTAAAACTGTAATAAAATAATTAATCCCACGCAAAACAAATCTCTGTGCAATTAAGGCAAAGTGGTCCTCTACAGAGAGATACAATATTTTCCAATTCCCATTTTAAAATGTTTATAACTGCTTCCAATTTAAATTCCATTTTTAACTTTATAATCATGTTTTGCTTATAGAAGGGCAAATCCAAACCTTAAGTCCCAAATGGTGACATTGAAGGCCTCAAAGAACATGCTAAAATGTTGTTATTGGCAAAGTAAGGGCTTAACTTATATGATTTTCATCAGCTGTAAATCACGAAGTGGTAATCCTGGTACAATGACAAATGATACATAGATACAGTAGCCTACATGTGTCTTTGCAGGCAAAGATATGCATTTTGACAAATTCTAAACTTTAAATAACTCTTCAATTGTAACCATAGCTACATTAATCAAATTTTGGGGGGAGGTTAAGGTTAGGATTTTGCATAGTCTAGGCCTAAGTAAAAGAAAAAGCCATCGATTTTATGTGAAGTTTTAAAAGTAAAAAATGTTGCTCTCCAAATTAGAAGAATGAATTTAAATGTTTGTTTATTACTTTATTATATCTTGTGATGCCTGCGCAATAAATGCATCCTAGCTTGCATGACTCATCCCGTTCTTTGTTTTCATGTGAGCATTTATACAAACCACGCTTAATTTCTCTGCAGCTATTAAACCCACTGTGTAGTTCAATGCAGGCTAGTCGTGTGTTAAAACATTTCCCTTAGACCAAACATTGAGGCCCTGTCTCACCACACTGATGACAAACACTCAGTCAGACCAAGATATGATTATTTCCCACAGACAAAACGGTATTTCCTCATCAGCCACAGTCGCTAAGCATTCACACTGAGCTGCCACTTTCCTCCGGAGATCTGAATTACATGCGCAGTTCTGCCGTGAATCTCACATCACCACGGCAACCGGCGTTCACACCGAGGCTCCGTCAGCGTCAGTGAACTCTTGTACCGATCACAGAGAACGGGAGCAGAGCATCGAAACCACTGTAAGTTTATGTTATTGTTGATACATCCATATTTGTGACTGCCTAGTTGATTATTTGAGTGTTACAGTGATGCGTTTGCGGTTAATAGGAGCCTGTACCGCGGCGGAACATCCCGGTACGGAGCGAGATCTTTTCATCGGACGTGATTTACGTTCAGTGATTGGTTCAGGTGATTCATTAATGTGGGGAATGAATGAAGAATCACTTCTTTTTTCTGGTCTCATACTTGTTAATTATGTGTCGATGAGATGCTGAATTTTGTTGTAATTAAAGCTAGGATACCACCATGAAAGAAATGTAGCCTTAACAAGTATGCGTTAGTTTACTACATTTGGACGTTGCTTTAAATCCGCCATTTACAGACAAATCTTATTCCAAGAAGATGTTTATTGTGGAAAATGGAGTCCGTAGTAGGCCTATGAATATATAAACTGTTTCTCAGTCCTTTTTCTGATAAATGTGCAGAGTGATTCCTGGTTACACAGCCTGTCTAAATTGTCGCAGTAGTCTTCAATGCACCAAGTTCATATGCATGATCAGTGAAGCCTGAAGAACTTGAAAGGCTCGGCTATCAACAGCTCTCTCTTTTTCGCAACACAGCATCTCTTCACCACCAGAAAGCTGCTTCTACCCTCTTCTGTTAGTTAGCGGGGATATGTACAAATGCGATGATGTATTTACCAGATACTCTTGCCATCTTCAGTATTTTACTTCAAAAATAAAGAGTACATAAAGATGCTATCGCAGCTCTCATTTGCTGGATGTTTCCTGTCAGAGTGTGGGAGCACCGAGTGTGCGACAGCAACAGCCGGCCCATTTGTTCATCACAGATTTAGGATGATTAATTGTACCCACACTTCACTCACACTGTGGGGACGAAAAATGGCGATCAGAGCTGGTGACCGCTTTAGCCACCCACTCACTGAAGACATTAGTAAACTGCGCACTGTATTGACACTCATTTGAGAGGCAAAGTACCTGAACATATTCTGCATCAATACATCTAAATATCTTAAACACTTTCTGGGTGATATTTTGCACTTCATTCCCTATTGATCAACCTGTTGGCCTGCTTTAAATCTTAGTCTAAAATGTCAAAAATCCAGGTTCAGAGTGTTTGAGTTTAAAGACAGTTGTTGCAGCATTTTTCAGCCAAAAGACAGATCTAAAATTCAGACCAAAAAATGCCATAAATGCTCTTCACTTTGTAGACTATGTCTTTCTTCAGGGGATGACAGGTGGATATAATGGCCATAGTTAACGTTCCTGTATCTTTTCTCTGAGACACATTTCCTGTACATCAGGGATTACACTTTGCAGTCCTTGGTCTCCTGCTGCGTGTATCATCATTGTGAGTCAGTGGCATCAGTGGGGCCTGTGGGGTCCTTGGCTGACTAAAGGTGTTGTGTTGCACTGTGTGAATGAGATGAGTGGACCCTCATTTCTTTCCTCCACCAACAACAGTTGAATCGAAAACAAAAAACAGAAAAATCAAATCAGAGTGGCACCATGTTTGTGTTGCACTGCATCAACATCATGTTAATAGCATGAAAGACAAGAGGTAAGTAGAGGGGATAGTACAATATTAATCATACTAATAAATAGAAATAACTATTTTTACTCCAGACTGCCAGATAGGGTAAAAAGAAGCCTTTCTAGTGAGGATAAATAATTATACCCTGAGTCATTTTGATATTCTACCTCTGAACCACGCAGTATCAATTTCAGCTACCACAACTCTTTCAAGTTATCATTTTAAAAGTTATAAGCAGATTTTGAATAAAACATTAACTTGCTTTTTTACTAGCGTCTTACTGAGAAAAGGTTTGAACTATCAATGACATTATATGCAGTAAGACACTGAATACAGCTGTTAAACTTTGATTAGTATTAGTATCTCTCAGCGCACTTTGTAGAAACACAGAAATAGACTGTAGCTCTTCCCAAGTGTAACAAAGTTAACCTCCTGGTATATCCAAAGCACACTAAATTCCAGGTTATGTCTTGTTTATTGAAGCCTCACAATAACTGGGTGTTATCAAACCAAATGTTGCTGTTTAACAGCTCTTGATTATGCTTTATACAATGTAGAGGCAATTTCCAGGTCACTTTTTTAGCCTTGAAAATGCATATTCAGCATATCATCTTCTTTTAAAGAGAATACTGTTGATCATGCATCTAAGTTTGTAAGGCTATGGACATAGGCAGCATTTCTAAGTTTCTTAAACACTGAGTGAATCATTTGATCCATCAAAACTACAGCACAGCTGTTAGCATGGCTGCACAAGGTGTATGAGCCTTTAAGTCCTTGAGCTAATTTCTGAATGAAAACATACAAACACACTCACTTTGACTATATGTTAGTTGGTATAGTACTGTGTATGTTTTTAAGCGTATTACTTTTGTTGTTTAACATGCTAACATATTTTTTAATTTCCGCAGACTTTATTTGCACTGATTGGAGTGTTATTGGTTTTGATGATACTTGGCTAATGACCAAAAAGGAATAAAAGCTTCATTTGCTGAAGTTAACCAAATGATCACCAAAGTTATTACAATTCAACTTGAGGCGACAATTATCTTTAAACCTGATTTCATGACAACATTTCTGATGTTTTTATTTTTTATTTTTACATCACACAAATATGAAAACTCCTGCTGTTGTCAGAAGAAAAATCATGAAAAATTATATAACATCCTCTGGGTACCAGAGTGTCTCAACAATTTTTCTAATGATAAAGCATTTGTATTATTTTAATGTGGATTCGAGGAGTAGACCATAAATAACATAAAGCATCTCCAACAAATTATTTGCTGTGCCAGAGACACTTTTTCTGTTCATAGCACTCCTGCGGTGTATGTCCTTATCACACCGTCACCTACCTCTTAATTTTCCGTGTCCTATCAAAATCCTTGATTTGAGCAACAAAAGCATGGCCATCACGTTTGCACAGAGTGTGAGTCAGTCTGACCTTAACCGCCTGTCTCTGCTCTCCAGATCTGTTTAGGTATTTTCAGGCAGCAGAGCCGCCATGGTGAAGCTGGGCAGCAATCTGTCTGATAAGCTAGAGAAGCAGCCGTCTGCAGATGATGGCTTTGATAACATCCCTCTCATTACACCCCTGGAAGTCAAACAGCTCCAACAGTCCTTTGCAGACAAGGTAAGTACAGCCTATTGGGTACCTGTAGGTCTGATTATGTTTGTTTTTTTCTAAAAAAAAATGTTTTTAAGAGGTGCATCAAACAGTGCATTGCAGCAGTACAAATACAGCAAACACATCCCAACTTTTGGCATACTTACCTTTAAACACTGGGACTAATATATTCACCTTCCCTTATGTAGCTTTAGCCCACACAATACAAGCACCTCTTATTATATATAATTCAAAAATCAAGCCCACACTATCAGATTTAGTTGAATAATCCACTCCACAGCACAGGATGTTCCACAGGCTAATGAGGTGTTGCTAAAACAAAAACAAATTGTTTCTGTTGTGTTCAGTAAACAATTAAAACAGCTGCTTTTCAAATGATGCTCATATATTTTTAGACATGCAAAGATATCTTCATAACACACAGGATCGTTGAACACCAACATAGCTGAGCACAAAGGAGAACATTTACTGATATATATTATTAAAGAAATCAGGGTTAGTCAGATATTCTTCATTTTTCCTCTGAAGAGTCACAAAGATGGTATTTTGTATTTGCTGCAGGTCATTGTGAAGACGTCTACACAATATCAGCTGCAGCAAAAGAAGAACAAGCTGTATGTACCCAGCATTAAGAAGCTGAATATCAACTTCTACAGTGATGTTTCAGATAAAGCAAAGGTACAACTACAAGCTAATTTCTGATTTGTTCATGGCAATGTTCTTAGCTCATGTTAATTTCTTTGACAACTGCATAAAAATAAAAGAACAACAATGGCTCAATCACATAAGAACTGACTGTGTATTCAAAGCATCATCAATTTTTTATGAGCTGTAGGGCTTTAATGTTGTCCCAAAACAATCAAAATCTCCAAATGGCATCAGCTGTTGCAGCTTAGTATCAACATGTTCTCTACCTGTGTTGTTTCAAGTCTTTAAATAGTGACATGCAAAAGGTTCTTAGGGGAAATGTCAGAGCTGCTTCTTTTCGTCCAAGCCAGCTCAGACTTAAAGAAGAGCCAGTGTGTGTGTTTGATTGATAGTCACTGGAAGACTGAGCTGCTACAGCAGGGCAAGACAATGTCTGCATGTCATAGGCTGGAACATGTTGTAGATGTTGAAGATGGCCGGCTAAGGTTCAGGGGAATCCATGTGTTGGTAACACTATATTTGACGCCTATCTCTACAACACATTATAAATAAGAATAAGAATGCCTTTATTGATCCCCAAAGGGAAATTCAATTGTCTGTCGTCTCATTTGTCATGTCTCTAAAGTCATCTACTATTTATAAAAGAGTTCTAAAGTCTGATAGCTGTGGGTACAAAAGATCTTCTAAACCTTTCTGTCCTGCAGTGAAGAGAGAAGAGCCGTCCACCACCATTGGCCCTTTGTTTCCTTAAGGTGTGATAAAGTGGGTGCTCCATGTTCTTGAGAATAGTCTCCAACTTCCTCAGTGTAGATCTCTCCACCACATCCTCCACTAAGTCCAGCTTGAGTCCCACCACAGAGCCAGCCTTTTTCACCAGTTTGTTCAGACGTCTTGCATCTTAGAGCAGTCCAACTTATTATCCTGATGTTATTTATACATATATATATATATAAATATATAATGCATTATAATCACATTACAGCTCTATATAGCTATAGTTATAAACACTCATAAATGATCATAATGCTTTACAGCAATAACTATAACACATCATAAAGCATTTTATTAACAACACTTGCACTGCATTATCTATGTGGGCATTGTCACTGAATTGTTAACAGTTATAATACATTATAATACCTGACCTTGTAAGTCATGATAAAATGCTTTATATTGTGTTATGATTATTGCTATAAAGTATTATGATCATTTATGAGTGTTTATAACTATAGTTATACAGTGCTATAATTTGATTATAATGCATTATACATATATTTATAATACGCTATAGAGATCGGCGTGAAATAAAGTGTTACCCATGTGCTGGTATTAGGTTTGATAAGCTGGAAATTTCAGCATGAAAGTGAATGTGGCTAGTTTCTCGGATATTATTTAATAGGTCTCCACTTTGGTATGACTGCCTATCCATGACAAAATGTTGATACAGTTTTTTTTGAATGACCTGCTTGGCTACAAAGAAAAAAAAACAACAACTTATGTATGAAAGGCAGAAATCTGTATCTTTTGGTAATGCAGAATAATTTCAGCAGGACTTTGAACACCTTGTATTATCTAATTTGTAAGGCTATCACTGAGAGCTTGTAGCATGTCAAATGATCTATTAATCAGCTAATGACAAGAATATCAAACAAAACCACGGCCTTCTTATTATTGACAAGAGATTTTTTTACTACACATGTACCGTCAGTTTTTACAAACACTACTGGAGCCAAGTGCAATAGACAGGGTTGGAGAGACAGGAAGATCTAAGAGATAAACAGACACTTTTGATATTTCAATGGAAGTTTTAGACATGATTAAATTGTATTACCGTTGCTGAAGTGATAAATATGTACAGTTTATATATGTACTATTTATAGATGTGTTTGTTTGTTGTTGCTCAGATCACAGGTCTGATCCTCATCACTTTGGCCTTCCTGACAAGCCTGCTCCTCCTTCTCATGTACAAAGCCATGTGGTATGACCAACTGACCTGTCCAGAGGGTTTCATCCTTAAGGTAAGCTTACACACACACACACACACACACACACACACACACACACACACACACACACTCAGGTGTATGTACAATGATTTATGAGTTATGTAGAGAAAGACATCTAATTGTCTTGGCCTTCACCTACAGTTCTACAGAGATCAGCAGCAGCAGCTCATGTCTTAGACTTCTTATTGCATTATCGCAGCCAAAGTAGTCTGTGTGACACCCACTAAAAAGCCACTTATGGTTCTCAGAACAACTGTTGTGTTGAAAAACAACACATCTTAACTTAAGTCCTTTTAGGAGGATTGTCTAAAAACTGGAGCCCAAACTCATTATCTCCCTTAGACACTGTAGAGGCATGGTGCAGCGAGCCTGCACTGCCACACATGTTAGTTAAAGAAGAAAACAAGAGAGGGGGGTGAGGGTGGGAGGGGGATCTGACAGAGCCCGGTTTCTGGTCAGGCAGGGATTGGGACACCCGCCTGTGAATCGGAGGGGTCTTTAATTAGGGCTGAGCATGACTAAACTGTGATTAAAGGCTTAACAGTAAGGGGGAAGTGAGGAAGGGAAGGGGGAGTTGGGGAGACCTTCCGGCAAAGCTTTTGAAGTTAATGCTGGTTACAGTCAGTTGAAGCATTTTCCTGCTAATATGATGTTGGAGACATAAAAAATGGAGATGAAGGCAGGCATAGTCACTGCTGAGTTTGATTCAGAAGTTTGAGCTCCCACTGTGTGAGAGAGCCAGATAGTGAGGGAAAATGCTTGCAAGGTCATTGAAAAGATGAATGTCTTATTTGTTTGTTCATAGCTTCACTTTCATTAAACAAGTTTTTGTTGGTTTAAAAATGGTGCAAATGAGGCTTGATCATTGTTTGTGGGCCTTTCTGCCTTGAACCCATCATTTAACTACTGTATGTCTGGGAAGAAAAAAAGAGTGTTTCTTGAGTTATTTAAGCACCCTGATCTGGTTTTTGAGACATTTTCTGTTTCAGAGCTGCAGAAATACTGGCCTTGTACCCTGATATTGAAAATTGTTTTTAATTGTTCCTACTGCTGCAGGAGCTTTACATTAGAGACAGTAGTATTTATTGTCATCTCTGTCCACCCACAGTGCATCTTCCACTCCACAGTTGTCTGGATTTCAGGATACTTGTAGTTGAAGTTACTTGTGTAGCAATTGTGCTGTATTACATGCTCTCAAATACTCAAGCTCTTTTTCACTACTGTGGGTTTTTCATTGGGGGGACCTGTATGCTTGTTTGGGGTTTGATTTGAGCTTTAGAGAACTTAGGTGGCTAACACTCTGATTGCTACTGTGACTTAATCTTTTTTTACTGTGTATTTTAGTGAGACAGTTTTCCAGTTTTTAATATTCTTACTGTCATGCATTAAAATTTTTATTCAATGTTTATACTTTGCATTGAAAATGGTATTCTGACATAATAATGTTCAATGAGTATCCTCCTACAAGCAGTGGAGCCGACAGTGGGCTTTTGCATAAAAGCAGAGCAAACTCCATGAGCTGATACATACTGTGTGGTATCATGAAAGAGCCGGAAAACTCAAGGTGACATTGAGTAGAGATTAAATTATCTAATAATTTAATTTGTAGGAGTTGATTCCATTTCTTTCCTCTTCCCATGTGTTTGTCAGAGCTTGAAAGTCACCAAGTGGACATTGTTGTGAGTGGTTTTGCTGCACAAAGTAATAGCAGCAGACAGAGTTGTGCAGAGTCCTTGTAAAAATCCATGCAATGGCATGATGAGGGAGTATACCATGTTATATTCTCTGGACTACTTTTAGGGCCTGTGTCCATCGACAGCATTCATGGCAGGCTATGCCCACAAAATAAATGTCAGTGTGTTTCTCCCCAACAAATGTTATCCAGCAGCACTTCCACCTCCCTTTGCAGTGACTATTCAGAGTGTTTCTACAGTGCTTTCAATTTGCTTTCATTTGATGAAAGCTGAAGAAAAAATAGAACATCTTCGTATCGTATCAAACTCAAGGTGGGGTACTTATATATTGCTACCATGTCATATTACCGTGTCCCAGATTGTAGATTGTGTCAACTCAATAATAATCTGATGATTAGAATCATTGATTAGGTAATCATTTGTTGAGACACTACAGTAGACTGAAAGTGCCTAAGCAAAGTATTGAAAACTATGAACTTTGTGTCAGAGCCATTTAGCTCCTAAAAGGCAGTAAACAGAAGTTTTATATTTGTGTTATATCAGCAGAAGCACTGCACTCCGGCTGCTCTGGAGATGTACTACACTGAGGAGCAGCCGGGCGTCCATGGCGGCCCCAACACCGGGCTGTACGCTGCCCTCAGCCACCTCAACCAGATGAAGAGGGTGGGGCCAGAGCTGCCACCACCATGGTTACCCATCATAAGTGCTCTGAAAGAGACGGAGGTGGACAAACAAGACAGCAGGGCAGTTAAAGGAGGACTGCAGGGAGAGGAGTGAGGGTGTGATGAAAGTGAAGTGTTACGGGGGGTTAAAGATGATGGGGAGGGAGCGTGTGAATTTTTAGGGTCTTATTTTCCTTCCCACACACAGTTGAATGAATCATTTTGTTTATCCTAGAGCTACACAACCTTTAAGATAAATATGTATCACTTGAAAATCTAGATTATTAACAGTTAGCCAAAAGAACCCGGTCAATATATAGTACAAGCCAATACTGAGCTAAGCCAGTGTGTGTGTGTGTGTGTGTGTGTGTGTGTGTGTGTGTGTGTGTGTGTGTGTGTGTGTGACAACTTGTTGTGGTTGGAGGCAGGAATGTTATTAAAGCGTTAGAGAATGTGCCAGACTTTTAGTGTTCTTGAGACTAAACACCGCCATCTCTCTTGTGCAAGCAAGACTGTGTTACTCATGTAAATACTGCATTGTTAATGCCTATACCTATGTATACTGTATACTGTACATACCTGCATTCATTTGAACTGTGTATGTGTGTGTCTGTGTGCTCACACTTTTCTGTGAAAGTTGAAGGTGAGAGTGGAGAAACAAGCTGTGAACGAGAAGTGAAGATAACAAATTTTTAATAAGATTTCTGTTAGTTTCACTTCATGAATGTGCCATGTTATCTCTCCGTCTGTTCTTTAGTTCCTGAAGGGGGATGTATTAAATGAATTTGCTTACATTTTCAGTAGAAAATGATCTACAATTTGCCACTGTTCTTTTTTCCCCTTGCAGTTTATTCTGCGTTTTATAACCAGGAGTCTGTTGATTGCAGCTCTGTAAACTCTTTCAGTAAAGGGCAAAGAAAGAGAGTTTTTTAAAGTCTCTTGTTACAGTTACACTCACAGTAATTTGAGTTACACAACCTCAGGCATGTTGGTTGTTTTAAGTTAGACTGTGTGTTTTTTGTAATGTGTTTTTCTTTGTTATTTTGGAAAACTGTGGTGAAAAATAATGAATAACCAAAATCAGGTTCTGTTTATTCAAAATCAAATCTATAACACAACAAGGTGGATCATATTTTTAAATACAAACTCAAAAGCCACTGTACAACCTCTTACCTAAAGATGTTTGTTATGTAAAACTATCTGCTGTAATTATGGATGAAACTTTAAAAGTAATACAAAAAAAAAATGAATCTAACTGTACAGACTAGATTATTATCCTGAGGGCAGGTCTTGTTACTGAATGTCATTTTTGATCATGTCGATAAAACACACCTGTAAATTAACATGTATTTATAATCACAGGTTTGACTCATCATACTGCTGATATAAATGTCTGGAGCAGCTGCTTTGATCATGCAGTAGATGTAGTTAGTGCTTAACATGTTTGACCTAAAGCTTCTATTGTCTTCATATTTCCCTATGTATTTAATTAACAGAGTATTTATATGTCTATTATTTGTTGTCTTGAATGGTTTAAGCTGGGTGGACTATGAGGACGATACATTTTCTGAACCATTGTGAGTCACTTTTTAGGGACCTGAATGTTATCAATTTGTTATAAAATCTGAATTAACTCTGACAGTTGTGCAAATTTTCCCAGTAATCCTGCATTCTTTTTTCCCTATGAATGCTTTCGTCCATTAGTTTATTTCTTTATTTATTCACACAGATGATATCTCACTTTAGAAGAAAATTCTTCATGTGAGCAGGACAAAGTGAGATCACAGCACAGCTTGTCGAGCTGGACTGCCAAACGTTTGCATCAGACCCATCTGCTCTGATGTCACTGACTGAACAGAAATAAATGACAGAGGTGTTGAGTACTGTCATTTACAACCAGCCCTGTTGATTTACATTTGAGTCCTCAAATGACCTGAAGGAAATTTTCTCGAAAATGGTGAATCCAAAAGCAGAAAACAGTGTTTTTTGTCTACCTACATAATTCACTGACTGTTTAAAACCCTGTAAAATAATCAAATGTATTTGTACATACAAGTGTTATATGTATAACATGGAAGTTAAATTTTCATGCAGTTTTCACACAAATCAAGTATCACTTACTAAAGTATTGTACTTACAATAATGAGATACTTGTTCTTACTGCAGTTTCACCTTTTCATCTTACGTCAGCACTTCAGAATCAAATTAATGGCACAAAAAGATTGTACATCTCTAAAGTAAATGTGTTAGTCACAATTAAACGAGTTTCAAAACTAACTTGTTTTTATCGTATTTCATTGTATTTTCTACATATGTGGAATGTCATTACATCTTTATGGTGAGTGGCCTCTCATTGAAGTAGACCAGTTTAAAGTGTAAGACAACTAAAGACTATGGGCTCTATTTTCGTGCCTCGCCGGATCAGGTCCGCCGTGCCGACAAGGCGTTCCCGAGCACAATTTGGTATTTTGGTGAGCGGCGCAGCCCGGCGTAAGTACGCCCCCTCCCTAACTCAGCTCCTCCCAGCGGCGTAAGTCGTAGCGAGGAAGGAGAGAGGGTGTGAAGTGAGTTTAACACAGCCGAGACCTGTATTGACCAATAACATCAGCTCCTCTCCTCGCCTTTAAATCCGCCACCCGCGAGCCGTATTACAATTTTCGTGAAGTAGTCAAAGAGATCAAGAGATGTTCGAATACAGTAATACCACACGATGGCGACAGAAGGCAGCCCCTCAACAAGTGTCACTGTAAGCGCTGCATTGGGCGTCCTCCACACTCTCTCATATAAGCACAGATGGATTTGGTGTGTGTAATCTTGGACCCAGTGGTAAGATAAACACCCTTTTCCACAAATAAAGACACTCACATAAAGTCGCATATATTTAAACCTCACGTGACAAAGGTGGGTTGAGCGCACAGATCAAAACATAAACTTAAAAAATGGCATTAAAATTGGAACTATTTGTGCGTAATGACGCATCGCGCTCCGTGGCCTTTCTTTCATAGATGTTGGCATATACAATAAATTTGGCTCACAAAACTGAATATTATAATATTCGTATGTAGGTTTGAAGTAAATAACTCAGCAGCAGCTGCAGCAGGACGGGGAGAGGACACGGAGACATGTCCAGGTCAAGCTGCGCGAGAAATAAGCGGAAGAAAGAAAAGGAGGGAGACGAACTACATATCTTGTTGACTTCATCATGCGTGTCTATTTACTAGATATTTAATTTAATGCGGTTTTAGCTGTGTTGATTCGGTCAGGTTGTGTGTCCAATCGCGTTCATCAGATCAGATATAGATCAGAATATATTTATATAGATCTAAATGTATGTGCTGACTCAGATTATTAGTTGTTGATGATTATTTATTGCACTGAAATGTGCCTGACACTGCGGAAACCTGCCGGTGAGGCATCAGTGACGTATGCTGATACGCCGCCGGTCTACCAAAATAGTCTAGACCAGCTGCGCTCCGCCTGCGCTGAAAGCTTACCAGGTTTGAATCGGCGAGTTTTCAGCGCACTTTATACGCGGGAGGTGAGCACGAAAATGTCACTGCACCCGCTGATTCTGTCGACACCTCCCCCTGCCACGCCACCACGCCCAACTTGACAGATCTCAGTGCGCCTCAGTCCACGAAAATACCAAACTGGCTGTACGCCGGGCTCCGCCAGACGAAAATACCACTGTGTGGGGTCTGTCACCCTCCGCCGCCTCACCGGCGTACACAAAAATAGAGCTCTACATGTTTCTGTAAAGTATTTGTTATTGTTTCCATAGATTTCAAATTCATGCAGTGGTAAAACCGCATTTTCATTTTTCCTTAAATCTAGGAATTTAATCTAGATAATTGAATGGAAGTACTGAAGTGTAATCTTATTTGTAAGTACAATAATTCAGTTAACATACTGAACCATTTCCTACCACCATGACTGGTTAAAAAACTTCAGATTGACAGCAAGATCAGAAACCAAATATTGTGTAAAGCAGCCATAATTATCTCCATGAAATCAAGATGAATTAATAACCTATTGATTTCATTAAACAGTACTACTTATAAAAAATGTCTATTAAGAATAAATCTGATTTTTCTACCTTTTCATCTAAAGTGATTTAGAAGTTACCTTTAAACTCTATAGTTTTCTGTCCATTAGGGACCTTTTTTCTCCAGTGAAGTGTCAAATGTAGCCTGAACTAACTGAATAGATAAAATGCTACTTTGTTTTTTTGTAATTTATTTATTGATTTATTCTCCTAAACTCACCATTAGTTTTTCCAATAACAAATTTATGGGTCGCATTTTTAAATTGCTGCTCAGTTGATCTTAAGTAATATTATTTGATGGAGTTGTTGGGATAAAACATGTCTTACCAGTTACACATAACGATTCATTTTTCTGTCAAAGTACTTGTTAAGAAAATTATCAATGTAATTTCCAGTGTTGCCTCTACTTAAGAAATGGATTGGAGTGTTTTTTTCACCTCTCTGTCAACCATTTCCTGGCCACAGATGTCAGTGTATTCAGATACTGAATCACCTTCTTACTGTCATATTTTTGAATATTAGATATGTAACTCTACATTACTAGCAGCAGAAAAACATACAGTTCTGTTTACACTCTGTTTCTTAAAGATGATCAGTATGCATAGAATTCCAAATATGACTCCTTCCTCTTCAAACTTTTAGTTTAGCAATTCAAAGCCAAGCCACATCCTCTCCCTTTACTGCTGTGAGCCTGTCTGCATCTCATTTACACTCACATATTTTCACACCATTGCTCTAAACCCAGAGATGTGTGGCTCCAAGTGTGTGCGCGTTTGCTTCCTTATTAAAAGAGTGTGGCTATGAAATCATTAACCTATAGTTATGGGTGTGTTTTTCACAGTTTTTGTGTATTTTATGTACTTGGTGCTTCTATGTCTGTTGTAGTGTGCCATTATGTGTGTGTGTGTGTGTGTGTGTGTGTGTGTGTGTGTGTGTGTGTGTGTGTGTGTGTGTGTGTGTGTGTGTGTGTGTGTGTGAGAGTGAGAGAGAGAGAGAGAGAGAGAGAGAGAGAGAGAGAGAGAGAGAGCCAATGCTTAGCTTGTTAATTATATCTGCACTAGGCCCTGTTGTGCCTTTAGGTTTTTTTTCTTCCACTGTTCCTGGGTGACATACTTAAGATGCTGTTGGCCAGGGGCATGGAACTAAATAAAGTGCTAAAAAGTATTTATGAGGGCATTTACAGAGCACATGCTTGGTCAAGGCATAGCATGTTGTGCCAAAAAGGCTTACATTCAGGGCCGGGGGAAAATCATATAAAATCAGCCGGGTAGTCATGTAAAGGCAGCCAAGCCCCATTTTCCTGCTTTATAGCATCAACAGATCTGAACAGTAAAATAGCAGGTTGGCTTTTTAATTTGTCCTGACTGCTCAGGGACCCCCCCTTCCTCCATTGTTTCCCCTCTGAAGATTGTAAGGGAAGCCTGTGCCAAGAGCCATTTAGCCTTAGTAACCCCTCCAGAATCAAATTTCTTTGGGTCCTGATGTCACTTAAATGTTGGATTGAAAGACAGAAGATGTAAAGTGATGGGAAATGTATCCCTGCTTTTCTTGTCTGTCTAAAGCTGAGTAGACTGAGTGAGTTATGATGCAACCCCACTTAGGCAGCATGAGTGGTCCAACAAAGCACCTGGCTAAAAGTTACAAACAAGACAGAAGTAGAGTTCTGGAGTTTCATCAAAAGTTGATATTACAGATTTTACCCAAAAGGAACCCCCATACATGCTCATATTCATCCACTTTCATACAGGTTCTCTGATGAAAAGGTTGGGTCTCTGCTCTGTCCTTTCTACAGCCAGCAGCAGATAAGTTTAGCTCGACAAAAAGACTAGAATTAGTCAGATATAGATACCCATGTTGCCAAAGTACCAGGAGCTGTGCGCATGAACATTTTTTTTTTTCAGAATTGTTAACTAATTGAAAGAAACTAACAGGAAAAAAATCATAAATCATACGTAGATGTTAAATGGAAGATACCTATGCAGCACCCTCCAAAGTCCTCTGACAATTTAAAGCACTTTTAGTTTTCATGTCAAATTCGGCTCTTTATACCATATTTATACACAGCTGGTGATGCCACCTTAGGTAACTTAGGGTCAGTGTCTCTCCTAGGGACACTGCAAACTAAACTCCACAACAGACAAAAAAAAAATCTAAGGAGACGCCTCCTAAAGTGTGTCTTTTAGTGGCTGTAAAAAAAAGTGTTGTTCATCAATTGCAGGACAATTTGTGACTTCAAGCACTTAAAGCTCTTGTTTTTTTACTTGCGTGAACTAGACTGGAATTTGAATGAATGGCTTTTTGTGATAACCAAATGCAAATAAAGACCATCAGGGATTTGAGTATACACACAAAAAAAAATTAAAAACATTGACAGTGAAAAGCCAGCAGGATGAGATTTTTTGACAGAAGACACTACTTAAGCATGAAGGGGACAAGATAAGCCAGGACTGTCCACTGGGGTGCCAAGTTCGAAAAAATGTTAAAATGTCCTCAAGGAGCCTTAATTTTCTCTATATTTGATCAGACACAATGCTTTTGTAACATTCAAAGGTGCTTAAGGTGGTCTTATATGATTTGGTTCTTTCAGGATATATATTATTTCCTGCTCTGTAAAAGCAGTGCTAGATTCTTGCTGGAAAAAATCACATTTTGCTCCCACATCACCCTCCCATTAAACATTCAAAACATTTAATTATTAAAAAAAAAGTTTTTTTTTACATTTTGGTAACTGTGAAGGTAAAAGTTTTTGTTGTTTCCACTACTGGCACATGTGAGTAGTGCTGATCATTATGGAGCTGCTCATAAACATAACTTTGCCCTTGCTTTAAGTATACCAACAAATAAGTGTTATACTTAAACCAGACAAAGACTCTTTTCACGCCTTAGTTGACATCGAGAACATCTTTATAACTTACATGTTTAAAAAAAACTATTGCCCAAATGAGGAAGAGGAAAGAAAGAAAGAAAGCATTAGGATGGAAGGAAAAGTAGAAAAAAAGATGAAAAGAGAGAAAGAGCAGATGAGAGGTGCTGGACTGAGAGGAGGAGGCAGGGTGTGAGGGGGTTTGGGAAGAAGAGGAGGCGGAGGAGGCCAAGAGGCATGGAGGTGGAGGAGGAGAAGGAGGGTGAATCCAGGCTGACCCCTGTGTCTGTGTGTGTTGTTGTGTGTCTCAGTGGGTTTCCTCTACCCTGGCGCCAGCTGGAAATGCCTCCACTAAGCAGAGGCAGTACACACATCATCCTCCATTCACCCCATTCAGTCCCCTTTGATGAGAGTAACACTATACATGCCCAGTGCGCCTCACAGATCCTATCACGCTGCTGTTTAAAGGCCGGGTGGAGAGCCGACGCAGCTGATCATAATTTATCGAAGGTTCAGATACACTGACGTGCAGTATCATTGGCCTGTGGTGCAAATAAAAAGGAGGACTATTGAGGAGTGATGTTGTGAAAGTGCAGGAGGTTTCACGAGGTACGCTGCCACCTAGGGGTCATCTCCCTTGGCTGCAGGGAGGAATGAGGTCTTCCCTCTAAATAACTGATAAAACAGAATTAAGGTGTATTTTTTTTCTCTGTAAAGCCCTTAACAAGCAAGCCTTTAGGTATTTTAATACCTTTCTGCTTTCTTTTTACTAGGGAGTAATGCTATGTTGACCGTACCTGCTATCAGATTAGTCACAGTTGCTCCTTAAAGTTGATCCTCAGATGGTCATTTTAAAATTACTCAATAGCCATGAAATTAGTCATTAGTTTGTTATCCTGCCGTGATGTTGCCCTCATGCAACAAAAACCTTGCCAGTACACAATTATCCAGCCGACATGGCCAAGTAAAGGCCCAAATCTGCAGCCCAGACGTGCCGTGAGGAAGAAAACAACTGTCTCTGCCCGGATTAGGTTCAGTTTGCTTTGTTCTGGCCATTACTGAGAAGAAATATTGTCATTACTCATAGACCAAATCATTTTACGACATCCTGCAATTAAACTTTAGGCTAATAGGTTAATGAGACAAATGGAGTTTGAACGCTAAAAGTTGGTTTCTATTAAGGTTGGCAGTAAAGGGAGAAGTGCCCTGTTTTTTCCCCCTTTCCTTCTCTCTCTCTGTCTCTCTCTCTCTCTCTCTATCTCACACACACACACACACACACACACACACACACACACACACACACACACACACACACACACACACACACACACACACACACACACACACACACACACACAAATACAGAGCACAGACTGGTTTGATTTAGGTTTTGTGGTCCCCTCCCGCGGCAGCCTCAGACAAGCAGAGAGGACCAGAGCATGGTGAACTCAGGTTCAGCCTGAGCCTGGCTGTCTCTGCTAAGCTTCAAGTTGAAACCCTCCAAATTGGGTTTAATCTGTGTTTTGCTTTACCAATTATTGACCCGCAGAGCTGCATGGCAAATGAATGAGCTTTGGATGGGGCTGGTTGAGAGGGAGGTCACACTGTGATTAATGGTGATCTGATGAATCTGACTTGGCCTGCTTTGACATAGCACGGGGTTATCAGAAAATGAACATCTGCAGAAGCAGTGTGCATTATGATGCAGCAGAAATGAAACCCTGATATACACACACACACATATATATATATATATATATATATATATATATATATATATACACACACATATATATATATATATATATATATATATATATATATATATATATATATATATATATATATATATATGTGTGTGTGTGTGTCTGTATATGTATATTTATTTATTTATTTATTTATCAGGGTTTCTAATATTTCTAGACATAAGGTCTGATTTCTGTGCCATGCTACACCATGCTACGGTTTTAGTAGTTTTATAAGCATAAAAATATTGACCGTTTATTCTATGATTAATGCATCAAGATAGACAAAGAGAAGTAAAATATAAACAGCTTACTTGTGGTGAGCTCTTTGACATCAGTTTCACAAATAACATTTACTTACCAATCACAAAGAACTGCTTATCCGATCTCTGCTTATGTTCCTTTTCATCTAATCTAAACTCATCTTTCTTGATGTCTTTTCTTCCTCTCATCTCTATTATGGTCTTATCCCCTTCCATTTCTTCTCATTCTACCTTGTCTGTTCTTTTATCATCTCAACTTTTCTTGTTTCTCTTCTTCATTTGTTCTTTGTCATCTCCCTTTCTTGTCATATCTTTTCTTTCTCTTCTATTATCTTTCCTCCTCTCATTTCCTTTCATCTCTCCTTTCTAATCTCTTCTTTTATCATTTGATGTCCTTTATTTTCTTGATTCACGTCTTCTTCTCTCATCTCTTCTCCCTCATCTTATCTCATCTCTCTTTTTCTCATCTCATATTATTTTGTCTCATCATGACTTATCTCTTCATTCTCTCTTGTCCTCTCCTTTTCTTCCCCCTCTTTTTTCTGTTCGAGGTGTAAAATGCTCACAATGGAAAAGCAGTTTGAACAACTCACCCAAGGGTGTCAAAATCTCCTTATTCGGTCCAAATAAAAATACTACTGCTAAAACTATTTCAAAGAATTTCTAGAGATTTAATCACACCGCAGAATTTTTATGTTTTAAAAACTGCTGAATCGTGATATAACTGCACAAGTCACAAAAACTCTTTTAATTACAAAAGTAGTTTTTTTTTCATATTGACTGACAATACTATGTCCAAAAGCACAAAAGGGAATGCAATACAATTAATCCCTATTTTTGGCCGTACTTTCCTGAATTTGAGTAACATCTGATTCAGGATTTAAAAGACATCTTTTGTGTATCCACTCCTCGAATTTTCCGCCTCTTTCCTTGATCCTCCCTCTGTCAAGCAGCAGTAAAAGCTTTAAGGCACTCCTTAGCATGGGATCTGTAACTACTACTGAGTCTGCAGGGACTGAAGAAATTGTGTTTACAGTAAGAGCTTTGGGAGGACCAATAGTCTCAGTTTTCCCTTCCATCTTGTACTTTGTGTCAATGTCCTGACACTTGCCACATGTTAAGTCCACCTTTGTTTTGTATCTTAGATTTAGGCCAAGCTTTCTGTTCTTGGATGCTGCTGCTTTATCTGATATGCCAGACCTGCTGCTGATTAAATGGACTTTGAACTTTTTGATCATGTGTCA